CTGGAATTGGCAATGCTAAGGTAAGCACTGGGAATCTGAGAGTCAGCCTTCGCAATACTAAAGTAGAGGTGTAAAGAGGGTCCAACATTAACCTTTGGAGAACGTCCAAGGCTCGAGCACCTGTCCCTGGCATTTGTGCAGCTCCATTCAATTAAACTGCACTGCTCAATGCCTCGGAATATATACATATATGTATATACCTGAGGCACCCAACGTGCCCCTTTTTTTAGGTACGAGAAAAAACGCTCGAATTACCGATTTTGCTCGACCCCCCAAAAAACGATCGCCCCGCGAAAAGCGCTCGACCACATCCCCTTCTTCCATCCAGAGGAAGGCGGGATTGTTGAGTTGTTTTGTAAATTTGCACTCATTTGCGGATATTTGCGCTCGTTTTGCGGATATTTGCGCTCGTTTTGCACTTCGATTTTTGCTCGCTCCTTTTGAATATTCAGCGACCGATCACCTTGGAGGACCGACCAGCCCGGTTTTGGGAAAAACGCTCGAAGCAGGAAAAAGTGTACGTTTACCATATTTTAGTGACGACCCCTGGTTTTGCAATACGTTTGGGCTAAGGGCAGAAATTTATGTAACGAAGGGTGCTCCAGGTATGTATGGCTTGAAGGCTTAAGTACCACACCAAGTTCAGTGAAATGCAGCACTGCCTCGAACTCATGTCTTTCCCGCCTGCATGATGCCCAGCTCCGCTTCACATACCCAAAGTGGGTATATTGAAGCCTGGTGGACAGCGGCCAGAGTGAGACAGGAAACAAGCAAACGAGCTGACACCTGCCTTTAACAAATCCCATGCCTTGTCAGGGCCCACGCACCCAAAACTCCAAGCTGTTGCCATCAAACGCATTGAGCTGCCGCGCATCCGTCGTGAGTGGCATGCCCCTGTCCACGCACCAGCCGCCCATCCTGGCAGCACGGAATGTCGCTGACTCACAACCCGCAGACTCTGAGAATGCAAACGAATTCTTTGCCAGGGTGGCCTTGGGTGGCTCCCGACGATCTTCGTCGTCTGCCCCAAGCGGGTCTCCGACTTCACGGTGAACACCTGACAGAGTAAGCTCTCATGACGCAGCATTGAACAGCAGCAAATGACACGTTGATCTTCCAAACAGAATCAACAAACTTGCCCTTGCAGCCGAGCAGCCAGCTTGACTCGCATTGCGGCTGCGGGGGGCACCAAGATAGGGGATGTCAGGGCAATTGGCTGCTGCTTGAGAACAATGCTTGAGCATCATGCAACTGGAATCAAGCCATTGAAGCGGTGTCTCACGCTCGATTTTTTTGTTTGGGTTTGAATCCAGCAGAAGTTCAGCAGAAGGGTACCTTTTCACCCTGGAAATTAGGGGGTGTCCACTTTGCTAGCTCCCAGGCCATCTACAACTACTTGCCGGTTCAATGACTGTTCATTGAGTAGGTCACAACAACAGGTATATTTTGCAAAGGGTGTGGGCGTGTGTGATGAAGGCGTCGCGGGCTGGCGAGTATCACATGTAAAATGCTGAGAAACGCAACTGAAAACCGAACGCACGTACTATCATGTTCAATATGTATATCTTACATAACTTTCATTACAATGTGTATCAATTATATCAATCTTGGTTTGTGGAAATGGAGAACAAATGCAAAACCAAGTATAAATCCTAATGCAAATTTCAATAGTAAATACATTCAAACAGAGACAACATTTGTATGGACGTGTATATGTATGGCGGTAATTTTATCATTTTGCCTGATCTATTTGCACAACCTAAACGCGGCTACAAACACACAGGCAAACACCATGCAAAAGGAAATGGCAAATAGCAGGGCAGGCGCGGATATAAGCAGAAAAGTCGCAAAAGTACAGGCAAAGACAACAGACAACTGCGCGGATGCAACAGGTTTCAGCCAACACGGAAAGCAGATGGAAATGCAGACACAATCGGCACGGGTCATACAAATAGTGAAGCATGCCTTTGGAGCCAGACGCGTTTGTAGGTCAGCGACTATAGAGCTTTCAATCAGGGCTCTAGTCAACCTGCTGAATAAGAAACAATGTCCAGACGCTGGATTCACTACCCCATGTCTCGTTACGTTTTTCAGGGCCAAATGACACGTTTTGTGTTGCTTCTTCTTGTTCGACACAACACTTATCAATCCATCATATATCCTGGTCTGTGCATGGGTGAGCTCGCTTCATCCCCAAATGAACTCGTCACAATTTGGCCAAACAGTAGAAGTGGTTCTCAACACTGCTTTGGGGGGTGCTTTCACTTTTAACCACCATTTAAAGGGTACTCATGGGGAGGTCACTTTCATGGATATCAGCCTATTCTATGCTCTGCTCATCGTTTCGGAGGTTCAACCAGCTCACCATGAAGGCAACTCCTATTTCAGGTGTTGGATTTGCTTGCAAACACTGCAGGAGAAGTGTGTACTCAATTTGACATCTAGAAAAAGCCGCCATTTTGGCGGGGACTCATGTCCTCCAGGGGTTCCCTATCTTTTTCAAGTCATTGTCACGGAGAGTGCGGTCCGCTGCCGCAGATTCCGCGGAGGGAAAGCTCCTGCTTGGCCTCATGACGGCCTTGCCGGCGAAGGTGCGCACGGTGAAGCCTTGGCGGGGATTGTGCTTCGGAACCCAAGCAGTGCTTGTTTGTCGATTGCGCCAGGGACAAGGTCATTGCACAAATTTCTTTCTGCAGGTAACGACTAAACCAAGATGTGGGAATTGTGCCATCTGCTTTCACCCAACTGTCGCTATGAAGCCCCTTTTGAACATATGAATTCTTGACTTTCTCCTGGGCTTATGTTGCTTCCCCACAGAAAACGAGGGTTTTTCCCTTGTGCTGCTGAAGAATGATTCACAGCCGGTTACCTGAGTGTCTCAAAGGGGCCTGGTCAACTGACGGTCAACTCCAACATTATCTATCCTGGTTGGGCTTCCTTCGGGGGAAACGAACAATCATCAGCTAATTGGTTCCTAGTTCTACTTTTCTTTCTGAGGTGCTTGTTCCGTGGTGGGTTGGTTTCTTCGGGGGTGGTTTACTCATGTAATTCCCTGCCCCGTGTCCTCAAAAGCGATCCCAGACATATTTAAAATACCCACACGCTGACGAAAAGGGTTCCAACCTGGCCCCGACACTTTGCAAAGATGGGACATTTTGACACCAGTTTCACTAGTGGCAGAGCTGTGCATCAAACCTGGGAACAGCCGGCAAAAAAGAAGAAGTAGAAATGATCATCCAAAAGCACAGTCACATGTGCCGTGGGCTGTGCTTCCTTGCTCCTAACCTCTGCAATAGCAACTTATTTCTATGTGGTTTGCCCTGGAGAGTGAGTTGCCACGAGCCCCAAAGAACGGGTGTGTGTTCCAATCCTGCAAACATGAGGGTTGATTTCAACACAGGCAATCATCACGTGGATAACTTGTGAAATGATGTGTAAAAATCAAATTGGGGTCATTTTGAGCTTCAGGAAATAACTTATGGCGGGTTCCAAAAATGAAGGGGATCCCTTTTGGTTTGTGCTTGATAGACCTCTAAACACGAAATATGCTATTCATAAGGGTCACATACCTTTAGCATGTCAAACGTGGCAGCGAAACAGCCCGCTGCCCAAGATCGTTTGCTGTCTTTTCCCCAGCGTTCAATGTGTAAAAAAGTCGTTCATGAATCCTATGGAGGGGTGGTTAAATGTGCGGTGGACCGGAGGGGTCATAGACAATTAGAGGTGCTGTCACAGTGACGTTACATTCCACATACCCTCACAAAACAATCACTAGCATTTATCCAAAATTACGCTATGTCAAACGGGTTCCTTCACTTTCCCAATCTAGATGATTCTTATATAGCAGGGGGGACTGAAAACGGTTGGCTTCAGGCAGTAGGAAACCGGAAAGTGAGCAGATCAACAACACAAAGCCGCCCAAGGTTACTGGGAAAGACCTCGTTTGCGCAATCCCCTTTTAAGTGCCGGCAGGACAAAGGAGCGCGTCGGAAACATTGGCAAACTCTTGAAGTGGGAGGGCATCCAAACGGTAACCAACTTCCATTGCTTTCCCATGGAGAAAAAAAGAACATGTACGCAACGCATCAAAAAAGAGCAACGCATCCCCAAAGCACAAAAATCAAAATGCCGGCACAGCCTCAAACCCCCAACTTACGGGCCAGATTGTTGACCGCTTATGGAAACAAATGGGCCATCTGAAGGAAGAAGGATGTCTACTCTTTCAAGGTGTCCTGGTCCTTTCCCAAACAGGCAGCCTATTTGCAGCCCCTGGGAAAACGTGGGGAATGTCCCCCTCCATACATTCTCGTCCTTGTACCCGCAGTGAGGGCAGATGTATGGTTTCAGCGGGTTTCAGGGTCCTTTTTTGGGGCCCGGTAAGTTACTCACTCCCATATGCATCACTTGGGTGTGTTTTCTTGTGGATACCCTTGTTGGAGGATTGGTAGGGAAACCAAGGGGAACCCCACCGTTTTTGGGTCTCCCTATTTTGACACATCCCCACTTAGGGCCAGCGATGGGAGCCCCACAACTTGACCCAAGTCCAAGACCTAAACTAGTAGTTTAATACGTTCACATATTTAGCCAACATTACGAGGAGACCCTAGGATACCCTTTTCACCTTGGCTCAAAGGAAAAGCGAAAGGAAAGCCGAAGTGACAAAATAAAATGATGTCAAGGACCTCTGACGTAGGCCGAGCCGCAGGTTGTGGATCCGGGTGACGTCGGCTTTGGCCTCGTCCACCGCGCAGCGCGCGAAGGTGGCAGCCTGGCCCAGGAGGCGTTTCAGCGCCGCGGCCCGGGCCCTCGCCTCGGGATCGATCGGTCGGAGGCTGGGAGGTCCAAGGAGGGAAGTCCCTGCAAGGGGAAGCCCTGAAAGGGGCGTCAAGGGCCAACGTTCAAAGAACCAACCGTGGAAAAAACGATGCTGACCACAAGTGGAAAAGAATGGGAGTGGCACTCTGCCGCGTCGCAGGTAGAAAGATAGCGACAAGAAGGCGGAACATTGTGTTGGAGGGCGGAAACCAGGCTCGTTGACTTGAGGGACCCCAGAAGGTACTTTGTGTTGATGTCGAATTAAGTTGAAATTGGCTCAGTCAGAGCGAGCAAACCTGGGAACTCCCTTTTTGGTAGGTTGGGGAGACCAAGCATGTTGAATGGAAGCACAGCGTGTTACAGGAAAAAGTTATATTAGATGTTGGTTGTTAGAGGGAAACACTTGTTCAAGGCGTTTGGGAAGCGCCCAAATGAACTACGGACGTATACGTATGTTTTATAATTCATTTGGAAGGCTGGTTTTGCCCGATCTGGCGAGCAAATGAGGAACCTGGGGCCCCTTCTCCAAGAAAACATGTCGACCGTCCAAAACACACACACACACAAACTGAAAAAGAAGGAGCCCTCTCCACCCAAGCGACTTATAAAGACATACCTGAACCGGACCGTCCAAAGCACACAAACTGACAAAGAAGGGGGGCCCTCTCAACCAAAAAGACTTATGAAGACATACCGGAACTTGATCGTCCAAAAAAACACAAACTGACAAAGAATGGGGCGCTCTCAACCAGAACGACTGATGAAGACATACCGAGACTCGACCGTCCAACGCACACAACCTCACAAAGAAGGGGACCCTCTCAACCAAAACGACTTATGAAGACATACCGGAACCCGACCGTCCAAAGCACACAAAATGAGAAAGAAGGGGGGGGCCTCTCAGCCAAAAAGACTTGTCAAGACTTACCAGAACTCGATCGTAGAAGCACACAAACTGACAAGAAGAACCCATTCCACCAAAAAGACTTATCAAGACTTATCAAGAATGGCCAGACTTGCCAGAACTCAACCGTCCAAAGCACACACACTCAAATACGCCTCGCAACACTTGTCAAAACTTGCAAGAACTCGACCGTCCAAAGCACACAAACTGACAAGAAGGAGGCCCTCTCAACAAAATAGACTTGTCCAGACCTATCAAGACTTGCGAGAACTTGACCGCCCAAAGCACACAAACCGACAAAGAAGGGTGCCCTCACTTATCAAGGCTTACTAGAACCCGACCGTCCAAAGCACACAAACTGAGAATGAAGGGGGCCCAGACAGACCAGAACTCGACCGTCCAAAGAAAGCCAACTGAACAAGAAGGGGGCCCTCTCAACTGCAAAGAGTTATCAAGACTTATCAGAACTCTTCAGTCCAAAAGATGGCCCTCTCAACCAAAACAACCTATCACTTATCAAGACTTATCAAGACTTATCAAGACTTATCAAGACTTATCAAGACTTATCAAGACTTATCAAGACTTATCAAGAACTTTCAAGAATTCTCAAGACATGTCAATACTCACCGGAATTTGACCGTCCAAAGCACACAAATTGACAAAAAAGGGTGCCTCCTCAGCCAAAAAGACTTATCAAGACTTGCCAGAACTCAACTGTCCAAAGCACACACACACACAGAAACTGACAAAGAAGGGGGCCCTCTCAACCAAAAGACTTGCCAAAACTTATCAAGACTTACCAGAACTCGACCGTCCAAAGCACACAAACTGAATAAGAAGGGGGCCTTATCAACTGCAAAGACTTGTCAAAACATTCCAGAACTCGACCGCCCAAAGCACACAGACGGACAAAGAAGGGAGTCCTCTTAACAAAACGACTTCTCAAGCCAAATCAAGATTTACCAGAGCATGACTGGGGCCCTCTCAACCAAAAATACTTATCAACAAAAATCAGAACCCGACGTTCCAAAGCACACAAACTGACAAAGAAGCGGGCCCTCTCAACCAAAGAGACGTATCAAGGCTTACCAGAGCTCCACTGTCCAAAGCACACAAACTGACCAGAAGGAGGCCCTTCTCAACCAAAAAGACTTATCAAGACTTGTCAAGACTTGCCAGAACTCGACCGTTCAAATCACACAAACTGACACAGAAGGGTGCCCTCTCAAGTAAAGCGACTTATGAAGACATACCGACCGTGCAAAGCACACAGAAACTGACAAAGAAGGGGGCCCTCTCAACCAAGAAAACTTGTCAAAACATTCCAGAACCCGACCGTCCGAAGCATACAAACTGACAAAGAAGGGTGCCCTCTCAACCAAAAAGGCTTGTCAGACAGACCAGGACTCGACAGTCCAAAGCACACAAACTGACAAAGAAGGAAGCCTTCTAACCCAAACAACATATCAAGACATACCAGAACCCGACCGTGCAAAGCACACAGAAACTGACAAAGAAGGGGGCCCTCTCAACCAAAAAGACTTATCAAGGCTTATCAAGACTGATCAAGACTGATCAAGACTTACTAGAACTTGACCGTCCAAAGCACGCAAACTGACAAAGAAGGGGGCCCTCTCAACCTACGCGACTTCTGAAGACATACCAGAACTCGACCGTCCAAAGCACACAAACTGAAAAAGAAGGCCCCATCCTGACGTGGGCCACATCTCAAAAAACAAAATGCCTGTTAAGATTACGTTCCATATTTAGTCTACCCTAAAGTCTAAGATAGCCTTGGAGGAGACCCCAGCTCATGCCATCTGAGGCCAGCACGCAGGTGTGAAAGCGCGTTTCCACGATCACCGGAGGTGGCGAATCGGATGGAAAGAAGCCTCGGGAAGCTGGCAACAAGCAATGACCGACGCCTTGCGGGGCCCTCATGCCTGTGGATCCGGTTTTCCCTTGATTTCCAAAGAAAATTGCAAAAGCCAAAATGGTATCAACTGCAAAAGCCACACGTCATGCACTGCCCAGAAGGTCCCAGTACTAGTTTTCCTCGATAGAAGGTCACCCTCAAGAAGTTCCTTTCTGTGTTTAAAGGGTGGTTCGCCTCGCTACCCACTGCACTGAAAAATAGAAACATCAAGCATGACCATTAACATGACCCTTCAAATTTGGCACATAGTGTCGCCTTCAAAAGGGGTCCAGAAAGGGGTGCACAACTTTGAGCCCTCAACATGGGCGCGGGAGTTTCTTCCACCTTGTTTTCTTGATTCCGATATCTTTGACCTGCTGCGATGGGTGTTTCTCAAGCTTCTCCACGATGCTCAAAGCGGGACAGTGGTGTCATGTTACAAGGATCCAAAAAGATGCCTTACTTTTTCAACAACACCCATGCCATAGATTCGGAGAGGGCAAATGAATTGTGTGACATATATTATGCCCTACGGCCCTACGATAAATCACGCACTTGCTGCCCACGGTGCCGGTCGCTGGCCACGGGAGATGCACCTGGCAAGCCTAAAGACTTCCATCCAGGGGCTGCTCAACCATGCCCAAAAAAACGCTTTCTGTAATACCAATGTCGGCCCTCAGAACTACTCTGCCATTTAAGGGGGGAACCATGGTATCACGGAAGGTGGCCACAACCATGCTCCTCCAGAGAGGGATTGAATGTGAACAATCCAGTCAGAATAGGCAACCGCCTTGGGGTTGTTCAAAACGGGGAAACACAATCCTAATCAAGAATCCGTAGTCCACTACACCAACGGAAACCACCACCATCTGGCATTATTAACTGTGCAAACGTCTGCTTGGGTGCCCATCATGCATATCGACACCAGCACAAAACAGGGATCCAACATTGTCAACAGTCTGCGACCTCTCAAGAACTGAATAGGACGATTCATGTTTGAAAGGATGGAGTCTGAGAGCGTTGTCCGGGCTATAATTATCCGACTTTCAGTTGTCTTGGGGGGAACACAACTCTTGCAAAAGAGAGCGGATACAATCTGTTGTCAGCCATGCGATCCTATAATATTGATTGTCAGAAAGACACTCCGGACCTGCTTCAAACTTTGGTGCGCTGTCTTTACCGCATCTCTCTCTGTCTCTCGCTCTCTCTCTCTCTCTCTCTCTCGCATCCTGATCGGAGCACGTTTGTCGTTCCAAGCTCAATCCCATGTCATGGTTTCCTTACCGTGAAAAGGCGCAACAGCACAGCAATGACTTTACTTCGTGACTCACGTTTGGCTGTGATTGAGCGTGGGGGTATGATGGGCATGTCAGGTATGTGTGACAAGGGAGGCTACAAATGTCTTTTGGATCCATTTCACTCCATCCCACGGAGGCTGCGATGGCAAATGCCGAGTAACCTCCTCCGCCTTCGCATCAAAAGAGGATTTTCTTACTAACTTACCACAGAACACGGAAGTTATTTTCCGTTTACTTCCACTCGATCCAGGGGTAGAACATATGAAACGGGAAACCGCTGACCAATGTTTACCAACTGGCAGTGTCTTAAAATGAGGGACTCCAAAGTGGATTTCGGATTCCCCGAAGTTTTGGGTTTGAAACCACCCCAAAGACCCAAAGAGGTACCTTCAACGCTGTGGCTTGGTCATTTCTAGGCCCGCGCGCCTCGTGCCCTCACAAGCTGCGGCCCAGGGCAAATGCGGAGCCGCAGCCTCAGATCTTGTGGGCACCCCTTTTTGTAGCTTCCACATGAACCGAATCAAATCCCAGAAGTAATTGACATGGTCTGCCCACAATGGTACAGAATCAAGCGGCCAGATCTCCGCACCGATTTTTGGCTGGGACTCACATGAGCTGCCCCGCTTGGGTACCGAAACACCCATGTCCCCGGTGGTGACTTCTTAGGGTTGATGTAGGGAGGAAACCGAAGCTTCTAGGCAAGTGGGGCCCTCTCCTTATCGCACATGTTGATGCCCATCCAACAACTTGCTTGATTTCCTCTCAGCTTCCCTTTGACCAAGGGGGGAAAAAACACCCTGCCAAAAGAAACCCACAACCCCAGTTGCAGGCTTCTCGGAGAAACCCTGCTTTGAGGCACCACATTTCCTTTTCCCAGTCAACCTTCGCAGCAACCAAATGACTTGCAGTTCACAGGCGACTTGGCTCTGCCAAAATCACGCGAGCAGCGCCCGTTTCACCCATTGACTATACGTTCTAACATGGTCCCAATTAAACCAGGTCAGGTAGTCACCTGCTCCGGCCCTTTTGGGGTTTTCGCTGCTCCCTTAGGATTCATGCGAGCTACGGCTCGAAATTTCGAAGGTTGCAAGAGGACACCGGGATTGTTTGGTCCCGTTTGATAACCCCCTATCTCCCAAATGAACCATGGAGAAATCCGGAATTGCTGGATTTCATCCTTATCCTGTGATCAGTTCCCGATGTTCGTAGGATCCAACCCTGCATAAGACCCCCTCCCCGGCGGCCTCCAAGAACTGTTGAGTGGCCTTTTGTGGAAACAGAAGGAAGGGGTGATTAGGGTTGGTTCTAATCTCTGACTCTGCTCCATATTTCGACCCCAAAATAGGCCTCCCCAAACATTGCACCTGAGGGTCCATCAGTTTCCTCTAACAAGGACTCTCTATCAGATGCCATGTTAGTGGGAGGGTAAGCGCTGGGATTCCAACCCCCATTAAAACAATGGTGGTCAATAAAATCATCGTTTAGCTCTGGAGTTTCTGAACCCCTGATTCGTGTCCTGAGATCCCACGCAGGTTGGCATCGCCAGAAGAAGGCCGGGCGCTGACACGCCACAGGGGCACACAAAGCATGGGCGCCTGTGCGTTGCCTTGGATGACAGCGGGAGCTTGGCTCGGATGAGCCGCGTCTTTCCAGCTGTGTGTTTGTGTTTGATTTGGAGGACCCAGCAGCACAGTTTGTTTCCTTGTGGCTTCCCCTTAACGCGAAGCTGATGAAAGAAAGGACGGTTTCGGATGAATGGTTAGAGTACAGCTTGGCTGTAAGCTCTTTGAGTGGATTGGTCCAAACACGTGCCTGGACTTTTGCTTGCAGCTACATACTCTTCCCCAAAAAGTGGCCCGCGTCGGGGATTCCACCAGTATGGACAAGCCGAACATCCCAGGGTTTTGGAAGACCTGAAAAGGCTGCCAGCTGTCCAGTTCCATGATTGGTAAAAAAGGCAACTTGTGAGAGCATCATGTCATGTGGAACAAATTAACCAATCGGATTCAATGGGCGTGGGTTTCACAAAAAGTGAAGGATCCTCCGTAACATACCCCGAATTGATCCATCAAACATGTATAAATCCAGGGTTCACATACGATGGCTCACACTAGAGATGCCCCAAAAAGATCGCTCTGATTGGGTGGGCATGGGTTGGCCTTCTAGCTGTCCGCATGCCATGTTGAGTCTGATCTGACAAAACAATATGGGTCGGATGCCAAGACATTGAGTTAAAACTTGTGTGACCCGAAGTGGTTTGCAACAACTGTGTTCTACATAAGGTGCTTCATTGACACATTGTCATGCGATACAAGCTGAATCCCATTGTGAGAACCTGTTTGCCTCCTCAAAACGGCTTCGAGTCTTGGCACATCCCGATGGGGTACCTGCCACTGTCCACTTCAAATTTGAGCCCACGTTGCCCCACAGCATGCTGCCACGCCAATCAGCAGCTTGCCTCAGCAACGCCGGCCGTTGCACAAGGGTACCAGACTCCAAGTTCGAAAGGCGATCTGCCCCACCTTAGGGAATTGGGTGACCTCACGATAGGCGCAAAAGAGCGATCTGAACGGTGGATTGGGTAACACAAAGCAAAATGCTGCTTGAGCAAGACTTCCATCTGCACAATTCATCCAGGCTGCTGAATGATGAGTGCGTCAGGATGAATGACGAAGGACCATTGCTCGTTTCCCGGACCTCAGCAATGAAATGGCCTGAATGACTACATGCTCAAATCCAGTTGACAGCGCATCGCACCTCCAAACAAAATCCACCGACGATATTACACACTAAGGATTCCCTTGATTTTATTCATGAAGTCCTCCCCTCCACACTGTTTGCCCGCCTATCTCATCCTATGTCCTAAAAACTAACCATACACTACCGGTAATTGTGCTTGTTACTCACGTAATGCATGAATTCCGACCTGCAGCATGCACAAATGCACACCGGCACAAACAAACAAACAAACAAGCAAGCAAACAAACAAACAAACAAACAACCAGGCGTCCAGCGGGACAAAGAGACTTGAGAAACAGCTCCTTCTCCAAAGTGCAAATTCTTAGCCTGTCATGCGGACTTGATTCCGAGAAGCATATGGGTCTGTCTCAAAATGCATGAATCCCCAAAGAGCATCCAAAAAAGGGCAACTTCAATAATAAAAAAGCACCCACATTGTGGAAGAACATGGTCAGGCCCCAAATTGATCAGCCTGGGACCCTCCCACGGAAAAGTATGGCCAGCGGAGCCCCAACACTTGCGAGGGCAACTCATGTACCGTTATACCACGAGTGTCCCACCAAAATGGATCTTCCATCCACACACACCCTTTCATTTTATCAGAGGGAAACATGATGATCGAGCACCTCTAGAAACCTGCTGCAAACAAAACCGGTGTCGGATGACCTGGTACCCTCTTGCGTAGGTGTGCAGGCTCTTTTATCAAGGAATAAGAGATAACAGGCGCTTTGTATGTTTCAGATTGCTTTGCGTGTTCAGCTGAACCTAAGTCGCTTCCAGGTTTCAGGGTGGGGGGAGGGGACCAAATGATTCAAATGGAACCGGTGCTATTAAACACCGTCAACCCATCGCGTGCCGTTTTGAGAGATCTGACTGATCTAGCGCTACTCTAAGAGGCCAATGCATATATAGGCCATGGGGTGTCAAAATCGGGGACCATAGCGGAATCCCAGAATGGTGGCTTTCAACCAGCCAAACAAAAAGGTACCCTCCAAAAGCAATCACATAGAGAAGGTCCGAAAACTCTTTGTTTCCACTATGGTCCGAATCCAAAAAGAACAAAGTTCAGCACCTCTTGTGTGTGTGTCTCGGATTTCTATCAAACACGTCACACCCGCTGCTCCAGTTCGGGCCCTTCGGGTCGTGAAGGGTTCCGCCGCTTTGAGGCCGGTGCCGGTGCAGGGCAAGCCGGCCGTGCGTTGGCTCACGTCCACCACCACGTCCTCCCTCGAATCGCGAAAGCGCGCCGGCGCTTCCGGTGGAGTTTGCGCACTCATGGGCGTGGTTCTCCCAAAAAGCTGGGAAGGGAGGGGCCAAAAAGAGTCCTCCATATGTGTCTGATTTTGGAGAGGGGCCCTTCCCAACACAAACATACCAGTGTTGTGGGAGGTGCAAGCACTGTGATACCATTGGAGGCCTTCCACACGACAAAGTCACCAAGGGAGGTTCCGTGGTATCACAAATGTGGGAACCAAGCGTCTAATCCCCCCAACCCTGAAACATCTTGGGCATGTTGGGTGGTGTTTGGAGGCCAAAAGGGGATGCCAATGCGTAATGTGCGATTGTTTTCTCTGGACCCCCTATTTACTCCCCTCAGCATGAAACCCAAAATGGCTCTTGGGTGCCCAACAAATCAAACAGCATGTCTATTTGAGTTCAAAGCCCCCCCCCCAGTGCAAGCATGATGAAATACCTCTCTTGTTTAGACATCTCCAGCCCCGGTTGCTACTCTCCCACAGCAAAAACAAAAGTCTGCTGCGTGTCCTGTGCCACGGCCATGCTGCACATACAAACTGCTCATATCGGGCATATGGGGCCGAAAAAAAGTACCAGGTGTCACTCTGCTGCACAAAAAATGGTAGCATGTTCTTCCTTTTGTTGAAGCAGGGTTCCCCAAAAGGAGATCACGCTCCCATAAGTGTGGTTTTTAGGGGGGGGTGCATGCTTACTACTCTATGGGGAGTGGACAAGGAGGTCAGTAAAGTATCAATATCCGCTTTTGTTCTCTTTTCGGACGTTCTATAACATATGGGCGTGTGTCCAAAACAGGGGACCCCCAAGGTGGTGGTTGTCCTTCTGGCTTCCCTTTTTCTTCCCAACCCAAAAAAGGGGTACCCTCAAAAATACCAGCACATAAAGCCTATTGGCAACATTCATCAACCACGACTCAACCTGCATGGGCTCCCTGGAAGACTGGTTGCAGCGTGTACCCTGAGAGTTACCACAGAAACCAAGCAAACCATGGGCAGCATCAAGTCAACATGCAACACACGCCCAACAAATGAAATATTAAACAGGGGCGGGATCCGATCACTCGAAACCTTTTGGATCTCCTAAAGTGCCAAGGTGCAACGGGCGAGCGGTAGGCCGCTCTTCAGCCACAACCGCGAGCATTTCTGTAGAAGAGCAATCCAGCATCGACTCTTCTTGCGAGCGTAGTTCCTTGAGAAGTCTACCTTGGTCGGTATTCAAAGACACGAGTCAAGCTGCACTGTTCAACAGCGACAAGCACGAATCCAGTCAAAGCCCAATGACCAAGACGCACCGGCCATGCCATGCCGTGTTTAATTCTAATGGCATGTGTGCAACATTTTTCCACCTCCTCAGCAGTACGGGGGGTTGGACTTTTACTTGCAGAATGTCCAAATCCAATTGTCTGCACACACACACACACACACACACACGCACACCCACCAGGGTGTGCTCCAAAATCCGATCAGAAAACCAAAGACCCAATGCAAGCTGCTTGCAGGTGGTTTGGGCATTCTGAGATTCGGAGTAGCCCTGAATTTGTGGGGAAGAATACGCACACAAGTTGATTGGTTTTGTCTGCACACTCACTCAGGGCGGGCCCACTCCAGTTGTGCGTCCAAGTTGATTAATCGGGGCCGATAATGTAGCAAAACAGGGGACCCCAACGTGGGCGGTTTCCACTTGGTGTCCCTTAAAACCAACCCTACCCTAAAAACGCCCGACCCTATAGCCGGTTCGGAGCAATCCTGAGATCAGTCCGCTCTCTGGAGCAAGGCGCGCAGCGTCAGCAAGGATCTGATCGCCTGCCTGGCTGACTCGTGGCCTTTGACGAACCAGCTGTCTGCGCACGCGCAGGCGTTGTTCAGCAGATCGGTGGACTCCCTCCTATTTCGAAACGAGATGCGTGGGGATGGGTCAAAAGGGGTCGACACATGTCACAACCGAAATAGATCGCCAAAATGGTCCAAACAAGTCAAAAACTAGTCAAAACAAAGACTGGCTTGCAGGCAACCAAACTGGCACCCAGTCATTTGGAGTCTTGAGTGTGCAAATTGGAGCAAATATCATGTCAGAATCTTTGATTGACTCAGCTACCCTCCCATCCACTGACATGGAACCTAACTGGGCAACCCCCTGGGAGTCCATGTTCCTCTAATATGTTCTGTGAGCTGGTGGGAGGGTACTTGCCTGACGGGCGTTCACAACATACACATCTCTGAAATCCGGAAAGCAAACCAGCTGCCATTTGATCCACAATTGAGATCAAATGAGGGCAAACATTTCTTGGTATCCCTCCCCCACTGCAATTGGCTCCTTGCATCACTCTGATGCTCTCTCCTCAGAATGACACCGGCAACGGACGGCAATGCGTGGGCTTCCCCACAAACTAAACCAATCCAATGAGAGCCTTCGGTTCCTGCAAAAAGGGAAGCCACCAAGCACGTGGTTTGCCCTGTGGCAAAGGCCACAGGGCGCCCACCTGAGGCAAATCACACCAGGGTGTCTTAAATTCAGAAACCCCCAAAACACACATTGTTTTGGAGGTGGTTCCTTCTTGGGCTTCCCTGCAAAGCCAAGAACGCTCCCTCAGCCATTTGCGTAAAAAGTGCTGTTCGCAAACTGCCAACAGGCAGACGACTCCGATTGCAGCACCACCCTGACATAGCGCCTTATTTGGGAGGTCCCCGAAAATGGGTGATGTTCCTGTTGGTTCCTTGGAGAAAAAAAAAAGACAAACGAAAACGGGTACCACCTCCAAAAAAGGACATACCCTATAACCGAACTGGCGGAAGCTGAGGCCAAGGCTGATGTTGCTCCAATTCCTCGAAGAAGGCACACAGCAGCGTCTCCGCTGCCGTGGACGCCTCCTCCCTGCTGGCAGCAGTGCCAGCGGTGCCTGCCACAATATGTCGCTGCTCAGAATGGATGGGTATCTTGTCTCTTTTGAGAGCATCCAGTCTTTCATTTGTTTTAATAGGGAACCAAGAAGGAAACCCACCCATTTTGGGGTCTCCTACAACAAGAAAAGACACCCATGTGCATCTGTTTGAGGGCACTCTTTCCACTAACATGGAACTTGACTGAGGGGTCCTGGAAGACTATCTTCCTTCAAAAAGAAAGGGTCCTCTGGTGGGTTAGTGGAGAGGAGGATATGGAAGGAAGAACAAAAGGGATTTTGGGTCCACATCCTTATTTTGACGCTTACCCAAGTAAGTTTTGAACTCCGGCGACATAAGCTACATTGGAAATTACTTGTTGCCGGCTATATGAGTGTATTTTTTAATCGAATGGAGCAACCCTGCATTATGGGTGGGTTCCGTGTGGCGTCCCTTGAACAGCCAAAAAGGAACCAACTCCAAATTCCTCGACAAATAGTAGTGGTTGCCCCTTGGTTCCCTCAAAGCACTGCAAGAATGTTAACCAAGGGATGAATCTTCATATACCCTTTGGTCATTTCCATTTGTGTTTTTGTTTCTTTTCCACCGACCATGGCTAAAGGCTTCCTACCGAAAGTCACCACTTTGCAGGCTTCAAGAAGGGACCCCATCCAGGCACTTGGTTCCTTTTGGGTTGCCCCCTCAAGCCGCCTCCGAAGAGCTTTCAAAGCCATGCACAAAGTTTGGAGTTCGAGAAACACACCCATGACACAAAGAGAGATATCGATACGACATGACGCGAGCTTTGTGCATCAGAGTTCTTTGGCTGTTCACTTTGGTGGACTCCTTATCCCCCGTTTGGTCCACGTTTGTGCCAACCATCTGTTTTCAGCGAGTGCTTCGGGCGCGGGACCCGCAGTTTGAGGGAACCGGCCTTCGCGGGAAGGCGTATACCGGGCCATGGCCGAGGGCGTAGACTGGGCCGTGCTCACCGTGAGAGACCTGGGGCTCTCGGTTTTGGAAGGCCTGTGGCCCTCTGCCAACGCCAGCACCGTACCAGCGGACTCCTGCCGCGTTGCCGAACAAAAGGCGAATGCAACCAGAGAAAATAAGCACGCATCAAGCCTCCAGCGCCTCAAATGGTGGGTCTCGTCTCGTCTCTTTTGTCGCTTTCTGCTAAAGCGTAACATCTACCTGCAGGTGTGGCCCACCCATAAATTCAATCAGAAGTGGCTCAATACACAGATCAGGGGTACATGCTCCTGTCCCTATCCCAACAACAAACATAAAATGCTTGCTGATTAATCTACATGGAACGTAGCTGAAACCAGCTAGGAACACCCATCTTTCAGTTTCAAGTTGACCTAAAAGGACACCTCCAAAGGCGTTGCTTGTCGTGTGGACATGACCCTGAAAAGGGGCAAAGGGATACCTTAAGACGCATGAAAATCCAAGCCCGGATCTTCTCGGCAAGGCAATAAGACCTCAATAAGGTCTGTTTGGCAAACAAAGCCCTTGCGGAGAGGCCTTGAGCTCTTCAAGGTTTGGGGGGGGGGGGGGAAATCAAGCCGGGGAACCACGACCATCGCTAAGCGTCCAAGTACCATCTACTAAGGTACTTGTTTGACCCCTTTGACCCCCTCCATCCTGGAAGATTAATGGACCCCGCTTCCTGAGTGGATTGGTCAAAAGTCCAAAGACCTAGACTGGGGGGGTGTCTTGCAATACCATGACAATGGTCCAAACAGATTCCATTTGGGTATCTCTCGAAATGGTGGTAGCGGGCCGACAACCACAAAAGGGGTAGCCTCCAAACCCAAACACAAACGTACAAACGTACAAACAAACAAACAAACACGCATTTGAATTTCACCGACCCTGACGTCCAAAGTCCTGAAGCCAGGCGGAGGCGTCTGTCGCCACGCGTGCCAGCACTCGGACCTTCCGAGTATCAAATCGGCTTGGGTTGGTGGTTTGCCCCAGTTCCAAATCCCTGGCGACTCACTTGTTGAGTGATTCACCTAAGAAGCCCAACCTGATTGCTTGTCGCTAAAAAGGTCGCCCCAAAAAGTATCAAGTCCAGGACGAGTCTAGTAGGTACCCAAGGGACCCTTTAAACCAACAGGAAGAAGGCTGGTCAACTTGGTGGCAACCAGGATGCACTGGGTAGTGCATGGAGAATCTTTGTTGGAGTTGGTTCCCTGTTGGGGCTGCTTGTTTCTGGGAGATCAAAGGAAGTTTCCAACTATTGGGGCGTGTAGTTTCGATGATTGGACCCCCCGAAATTGCGATATTCGTGTTGGGTGCCCCTTAAAAGCCACAAACAAAAGGTACTGGATACCCAGTTTCTTATTTAACAGTTTGTTTCCCGGTACATATCCTGAGGATCCATGCCCTGATGGTCCCCAGATGTTCCCGATGTGTGTGTGCCCTGAAATCGGGTCGTCGCTTTGGTTTGCCCAAAGCGGACAATATGAGCGAACAGTCGATTCGGGGACGTGGGGCCTAGTTTCCCCTCAAAAGGCCCAAGCGTGTTTGAGGCCCAATGAGGTGTCCAGCCTTTCGAAAGGAGAGCGGTTTGTTCCCAGGCTCGCTCGTTCGCTCGCTGCCTTAGTGCCACTCCCCAGCTCCATGATGGCAGTCGCCAGCGCGTCTTGCGCCCGCTGCGACAGGCCATTCTCTGAGCTGAGGCCGGCCATGAAGCTCTCCAAGAGCGGCCTCGGCTCCTGAGGTCCCTAATCGGTACTGCAACATTTGCTTATGTGGGTATGAATCTTCATTAGAGACCCTTTGGTGGACATCATTTACCCCCCCCCCAAAAAAAAAAAAAAGAGGAGACAATAAGCTCAGGTGACATCCCCAACAGCATGCGTTGCTCTTTCTAGTGCTCGCACCACCCTGCAGCTCTCGCAGAACCTCGCGGAACTTTCGTGGAACCCTGGTGGAACCCTGGTGGAACCCTCGTTGAACCTTACATCAGGGCCGCCCCAGACCACCCCGGAGCCTATCTGGGCTGAGACCCCCAAAGCGTTCAGCTGTTGGGGGGGGGGGGGGGAAGGAGAAAAACAGCCAGAAGCGCCGAGTCCTCGGTGCGCTTGGCAAGCAGCAAAAACACACAACATTATATATGCGTGATAAACGATAAATATAGCAATAACTAAACCAATCAGAATCTCTGCAGGGGGTGCCCAACTAAAAGGGCACCTTTCAGGGATACCTCTTCTCGACCCTTCTTGTTTGCTCGGCCATTGTTTTGAGATTCGGAGCAACCCTGTCCTCCTCTTCCTGATCCTCGTCCTTACATCCTACACAGAAGCACACCGTCTCTGAAGTCACTCAGGCATATGGGAATCCTTGCCTCATCGTTCACTGCAAACAATGCGTCTAAACCGCCACCAATTGAAGAAAGAAACCCCTGCGATCCATCTGCAAGGCTACAGGTGCCCAGCTATCAAACAAAGAGAAACACAGAAACAGAGAAAATACAAAGACACAAACACAGCGACGCAGAAACACACAACAAACAGCGACACAGGGAGCTCCGTGGGAACCAAACAGAGGCAATTCATGTTGGCTGCAAAGATCGTTGGCTTGGACGATGTTGACCGGGAAGAGGGAACCCAAAGAAAGCCGACCATATGGAGCACCTCTTTGACCGGAGACAAGAACACGCGTAGTTGCATGAACGCGCACAAACAACAACATGTGTACACAAACAAAAAAACTGTTCAGGAGCGCGAGAACACGCCAAGACAACACACACACACACACGAACACGCCCACTCTCCATACATACAAAACACAGACACGAACACGGACACACACACACACACACAAAGACACACACACACACACAAAGACACACACACACACAGACACACACACACACACCCACACCCACACCCGCACACGACAAAAGCAACAAACACACATACTCAAACACCCACACACACACACACACCCACACCCGCACACGACAAAAGGCACAAACACACATACTCAAACACCCACACACACACACACCAATATTTGACACACTCACCACACATGGAGAAACACACACACACACAAACACACACACACACACACACACAAAGAGACTGACAGACACACACACACAAACACAAAAAGACGCCCACAAGCCCACAAGTCACACACGTCTGAGTCTCAAGCACACAAGACAAAATGGCTCATTGCCCATGCAGCTGTTACTGGAACACATACACCTCTCACAAGCATGGGTTTGCCTTCTCTGTCAATCCAAAGCTTCAAACATCCTCGTTTGGGTCAACTCAGTTCCCCCTGCTCAGCCTTGCTTAGAAGTAGGCCAACACTGGAATGCCAATGGACCGAAAGGTCGGCTTTGTGCAAAACAATACCTGAGCAGACCTCATCCTGCTTCCCACGCGGGAGTGTGCTTGTTCTCGTTTGGGACAGCGCCCATGTGGAGGCCTCAACACAACAAAGCCACCTGTCCGGTCCTGAAGTACCACTCCATGCTCTGCTGACAGCTGTCTGAAGGTCCGAGAGGGTGGCGTCATCCCAGAACCAGTTGAGGCCTCACGTGGATATCTCTCGACATAGGGGGATCCCAAAATGGTGGCTTTCCTTTGGCTCCTTGTTAAACCAATCCAAAAGAAAAGTACCTACAAAAACACAAACATGGCGATGAGTTTGGGGAAACGCCTCAAACTCAGGTAGACACGAGGCCCCGCCTAATGATGTCTACCCTCAAAAAGTGGCGGGAGCGCAGTTCGCTGCAGAACTGCAAATCGAAAGCCGCCCTCCATGGGTTGATACTTCTCCTATGATTATGTTTGCAGAGCATGCAAATAGCCTCAACATCGGGCCACGTGTAATTTTTAGATGTCTCCTGCTTGCAAAAAACACCCACACATATGTGCATGTAGTCCCTCATCAAGGAAGTGGAACCCCTTAACAACTCACTCGAGCCGGGTTGCCAATTCTTCCCCAATTGAAAGGGGATGATGCTTCTGAAATCAACAAAAGAGGGCTGGGTGAATTCTGAAAAGTCCCGAACTGCAAACACAGGGGAACATATCTATCATGTACACCGTCCCAACGGCGTGTGTGTATATATCTATACATATGTACATGGTGAAGCCTCAAATTGTTTGGTTTTCGGCCGAAAAACAAATCAAACGGGGTTCCCCCCGAAAAGACTACCCCATACACATTATACATATATAAGGGGGCCAACCCCAAAATGGGTACCCTCAAAACACACAGACCCGTCTGTTTCTGTGGGATCGCAGTTCGCTGCAGAACTGCAAATCGAAAGCAGCGCTCCATGGCTCGATACTTCTACCATGATTATGTTTGCAGAGCATACAAATACCCTCAACAGCAAGCCATAAATAATCAGATGTCTCCCGTTTGCAAAAAACAACACCCACACAAATGTGCATGTAGCCCCTCAGCAAAGAAGTGGAACACTTTTACAAATTACTCAAACAGGGTCGCCATGTGTTCCCCTTCACGCAGCACCTCATTTTGACAACAACGAGACGATGTTTCTGAAATCAACCAAAGAGGACCGGGTGAATTATGAAAATCCGGAACCGCAAACAAAGGAGACATATCTATCATGTAAACCTTCCCAAGGGTGTATATCTGCATAGTTTTATACGTACGTACGTGCAGGAACGTCTTACAATAGGCAAAGCCGCTAAACCAATCAAAAGGGGTTCCCCCAAAACAAAATACCCCATACACAATATACATGTATATATATATATATATACATATGTATGCACGTGTATCTAGGCCCCGGCAACTGTCAAAATGGGGGGCCAAGCCCCCAAAATGGGCACCCTCAAAAACACAGACCCGTCTGTTTCTGTGTGCTAGTTGCCCCGTCAAATGCAGCTCGAGCTCCATGCCGCGCGCCTGCCGCGATGGCCCCGCCAACGAAGGATTCTTGCTTGGCCGCCTGGCCAGCACGAGCAGATTTAAGCGCCTGGGGATCACAAAGGTACCATAACTCACAAACTGGACATAAGCGAACCGGATGAATGGGACGCCAGGCGCCAAAAGGGGGCGCCAAGATGGCCAGGGTTCATGCTTCCGTCCGTGGGGTCAGCCAATGACACAATTGAACGCTGTTCTTGAGGGTTTCTCAAAGTACAAAGACACCTCGCCTCGATGGACTCGGCAATAGCTTGTAGTGAGGGCTTGGGACTTGGCCCCTCTTCTGTGGTATGCCAGAAACATGCTCAAATTCTGGCCGAAATGGGCATGAGTCTCAATTGGGGACCCTTGGCGGACATCAGAATTCGGTGGGGATTCCTGCCCACCAACCACTTTTAGGAGGGTCCCTCATAAAATTCACGCGCTTATGCGGGTATGTGACAAATACGAAATGCATATTGTTCAATTGGTTTTCCTGTATAAAGCCACCCCACGAAGGGTATACTAGGTTGAGATGACCCAGTTGGTTGTGGTCCAATCGGATGCCAAGACTGGAAAGCAACGGCTTGAGTGATGCGCATATGGGCAGCTGAGGTTGTGCAAAAAAGAAGTACGTGGGTGTTTCTAATTTTGGAGTACCAAGCTGTTTGCCCTCAACAAACAAGACAGCACGCCGACATTCCATACTGCCATAGCAAGGAAAGCACCGGCCCTTATTGGTCCGCAAATGGGGTTAGTGTGGCCCCGAAGGCCAAACAACGAGTTGGCTTGAGCGAGCACAAAACCGCCACAATTGCAGTGGCCAATCGTGGCATTTCAGAGTCAATGCACATCCCCAGATTACTGAAACAAGATCCCGAGCGTTGCTACTATACGCCAAATGCCAAATGAAACCGGCAACACCAGAGATTCCTATCTCCTTTACCATTCCTTCCAATTTCCATGTTGTCCCATGTTGTCCCAGAAGGCTGTATCTATGGTGGGAGTTGTTTTGGCGATCACTCAAACTTCCCTTTCATCGGGCGGACTGAGCTACTTTCGATCGTCATTTCTGCCAGCCCAAAAAGCGTTTTGACCCCAAGCGAGGCAGCGCCTTGCGGATGGGCTTGGGCTTTGGCATGAGCCCAACGTCCTCCAGAGCTTCTGGGTACAGCGCAGCCTGGAAAATGCGAATGGTTGCGTTCCTAGAAAAAGCGGTGGGGGGGGGGGTGTTTTCAGGTTGCCCTTCAAAAATTAAAGGAAGGTGGTCTCGTAAGGCTTTCGAACAATGCATGTTTTCCTTTGGTCCGCCCATTTTTTTGGACACAAGTCTCAACAGCTGCCAGGGTTGCTCCAAGACGCTTTAACGGCAGAACTTGAAACGGGAAACAGGAATCTGCTCTGCAGCGTTGACAAGTGCACCCACCGTACCCCCCAAACATTGAACTGCACAGGAAGCAACCGATCTGCAAATTCTACAACATGGGTGTACCCCCTTTTGGTGGTTTTAATCAAAAACTGAAATAAGAAATGGAGCCCCGCGTGAAGCACTTTCATCATGAGCTCGGTTTGCCCAAGATAGGCCAAAAAGTGGCCAATCTTCTTCCCTTGTGGTCTGGCTGTTGAGATTGTTTGTGAGTTTGCCGCAACCCTGGGACCGATTTGTCTCCATTGTGGCATTCTGGCGATCTAAGCGCTACGCCATGCCTGGGACACAAAGTAAAGGCTCCTTTGTGTATTGGCTGCCAGGGTTGGGCGATTCAATCTCCTGTTCCAGCAACATCCTTTTGTTCTTCCCTTAAAAACCCAGAAAGGTATGGTTGTTCATATAAACACTTCGTGCAACCAAGCCTGGCTGCTGGCTTCACAGTTGCTGGCATCTTCTTATGGCCTAATACACCAAACAAAGAAACAAACAACATACGAAGTCGACAACAAACGCATCGCACCAACAAACAGCAGCTCTGGATTTTGTTGGACAAGATTGCCATACAACAAACAATTCACAGGCTTCCAAATCAACAAATTGTGTGACATGCACATGTGGATGCATGCTCGCTTGCCGATTTTTGTAGCCTCAGGTTTGACTGCTCGAGTGAAAGTGACATTCGAACATTCTCTTATATCTGCTGACTTAAAGGAAGGCCACCCCGCAAAAGAATTTGTGGGAACCCCAAAACTGCTCACTTTGAGGCTCCCCTCCTTTGATGACCGCTTCTCTTGGGCACTTGGCCGATCTCTAGGGAAAACATCTACAGTTTCCGCGGCAAGGGGGGAGTGTCATTTTCAAACCCGGTCGGTAGGCGTGCCCCTGTCAACATTTGCTATACCTTTTAAGGATGCATGGGCAAATTGGAGAACCCCTGATTGCGAAGCGCCCCCATGTCCCTCCTAAATAGCTCCGAAACTAGGTCCTGCAACTATCTGGTTCCTTCGTCCCAATCGACATATCTTCGAGCGCTTTGCATTTTCCTTGAGGATTCCATGCAAACCCCAACCACTAATGGGAACCCTGGTTAATAAACCCCTGGTTGATTAATAAGGGGTGTCCCCTCTTTGCGGGGTTTATCGTTTTGGCCTTGTTGGTAGGCACGGCTTATTCTATCTAGGGTTAACATGAGTGGGTTGTTCCAAAGTCTCTGTTCAGGCTAATTTGGGGGAAAGGGAAACCAAAGCAAACACCAACTTTGTGCGGCGTCATCTTTTGGCCTAAGCAACCCTGTAAAATTGGAAACTTGGGTAGCCCATGGGTTCCAACAAACCCTCCAACAAATAAGTTCCGAAATCGGATCATCACTCGTTGACGCAAGCTGAACCCCTTAAACATGCTTCTTTGAGACTTTGAGAAACACCCGTACTCTCTTTCTCTCTGTCCCTCTCTCTCCTTCTCTCTCTCTCTCTCTCTCTCTCTCTCTCTCGCTGTTTTGCTTATTACTTTTTCTCCCTCGCTCTCTCTCTCTCTCTCTCTCTCTGGCTCTATCTCAGAAAGCACCGGTTGGCCATCGATCTCCATGCATGCCCCCGCGCCCGGAACTCGCAGAAGGCCCAGGCTGCTACAGCGGCCGAGGGGCCCGGACTCAGTGGTTGGTTGAACCGGGGACGGACGACCCAAGGGCCATCCTAAAGGGGTTCCCAGTTTTGGACACCAAGACGTAGTTGGGCGGCCTTTTTCTAGGGGAATCCTGTTTGGTTGGTTGTACTCCGAGGGACACCAAAAGGAAAACCACCGTCCCCTCAAAAAAGACACCACCATATCAAACATAAAAGCATCTTCCCCACCCCCCGTTATGCACATGGATTTGCATGTGCAAGGCCCAAGGGTTTCTGGTTGGTGCAAACATGGGCGCCCCCCTGCCACTCATTCGATTGCCCAACCCCCCAAAGACAAACATACATTTTTAGGAACATACGTTTAATTCCCTTTTTGTGGTTTCCATATGAATTTGTACCACCCCCCCCAACCGCTTTGTGGACAGCACGTGGGGTTTTGAGCATTCGAAGAGGCTTCCATCTGACTGCTGGGCTACCTGGCGGCTCGCTCGAAGCTGCGCCGATTCTGCTCCGGGGAGACATGGCCGCCCCTGGCAGTGCCACTTACTTGGCCCATCTGGGCTACGCAGAAAATCGGATTCTCGGATGCTTCATAAGTTAGCCTACGGTCCGTCAGTGTGTTCAGAAGGTTTTATGACGCAAGAAATTAGACCTTCAAATGGTCCAGAAATACATTATTTAAACATTTGAATCATTTAAATGGTTCGATTTCAACTTAGACTCTCACACGCTTCGACTAAAAAAGAAAATGTTTCTCGCGCATCGCTGAGCCCCATGCGTGAGACAGACGGGGACCACGAACACTTCGATGGCCACAGGGCCGTTGCACCACATGGGAGTGAGAGCGAAAGGAAGTCCATAGCACCATGAGTTTTTGTGCGTGACTTCTCAAATACAGAAACCGACCACTTCAAGTAGTCCAAACAAGTTGCCAGAATCTTCAATTTTGGAAATCCGGCCAAGACTTTGGATTGAAACCACCATTTCTTTCCCCGTCAGACGTTTAAGACATATGCCAGACCCTGATCCAAACACGCGGTTTGCTCAACATACCGATCGACCGGACCCTGAAATCTAACATCGTCTCGGAGGCATTTGGAAAGAGGTGCTTTGGTGCCAGCTTGGGCCGCCTTGTCAAGGCTTCGACTCATCCCAGACAATGGGAAGAAGCGGGAACCAGACTTTGTCCAGGGTACACCCAAAACTATGGTGTTCCTGAAGCCAGCTACAAGCAACATGGAAGCTCCCCGGAACCTTTGGAAGACTTGGTTCCACGTCAAACATCATTTGTTGGGTCCCTGTAATTCTAGACGTGCCCACAGTTCAGCTTCTGTTTCATAGTCAGGCAACTTGAGAACACAAAATCATGTCCAGTTTGGATTCCCCAACTAAAGGGCACTGGAAGTCTAAGGCACTGAAAGTCTAGAAACTCGCAAGCACCCTAAAACGGTTTGTGTCCATTTGTGCTCCCTTGACTCCAACCCCAAAAGCATTCCGGTCTCAAACAACACACGCACACACCCATCCCGTTAAGGCTAATCGGTCTCTTGCGGCAAGCTCGCTTGAGTGGGAATTCACCAAAAGTTTGAAAGAACTGCTTGCTTTGCCACCAAGCTCATGTTCGCAAACGAGTACAAAGTCCAGTCATTGAGAAACGGGCAAAACACACGCTTTGTCGTGGAAAAGCCTAGGGTTTCTGAAAAAAGGACTCCGGAAAAGGGGTTACATTCATTTTGAGAAACATTGACAAATTGTGCTATCCCCTTCTGGTGTCCTTTCTTGAAAATCAACAAAAGGCCATGTGGCACCGAAAGCCTAACTCGTGGCAATCAAAGTGGAAATCGACTCGCCTGGTCCGGAGCCATCCATCATCGCCTTGGGGCGAGAAATGCCAAAAACTCAGCTGTTGGCGACACAAACCTAAGGGTCTTGGCCAGACTTAGGCCCGCAAAGGTTGATATTTGCTGGCTAACCGGGGCCAAGGCCAAAACTTAAATGGCAAAACGGTGAGTTAGGTCTGCAGTGTGTTCTGAAAAGCACCACCCACCCCCCAACGCCTATGGAAAACAATCAAACAGAAAGGGTGCTTGGGTGGTGGGGCTGCTGGTGGTGGTGGTGGTGGTGCGGTGGTGGTGGTGCGGTGGTGGTGGTGGTGGTGGTGGTGGTGGTGGTGGTGGCGGTGGTGGTGGTGGTGTTGACGGTTGTGGCAGTTCGGGCGGTCCTAGGAAGCGTTCCACGAACACGGAATTCTAAGAGCAGCGCCAGCAAGGCGGCGCGGAACGGGTTGGAGATGTACGCCTGGTCCTGATGCGCGCGTATTCATGCATCTGACGTGTCGTAGCATTCACCGCCCTCGAAGTCAGGGCTGCCTAATGCCCACCTACGATTAGTAAGCTGCCCCTTAATAAAGCTAAACTTCTTCCCAAACCCAATAACAAACTACCCCTAAATAAATCTAAAAAATCCCCCCCACCAAACAAAACATGCCCAATACTACTTTAGAATTGGCCCAATTCTAAAGTAGTGTTTGAAAACCAAAAAAACAGAGCCCAATACTAGACACATTCTAAACTTTTCCTGACCCTGAAATTGTCCCCTTAACTTTATTTAGGGTCATTCGGGGGGGCGCCCTATGTATTAATCAGAGGTGGACATTAAGAAAGGAATCTTCATTGGGTGAGATCGCAAACACCCGGTGCGAGGTCGCTAACAACTCCCCAGGTCTGACACTCATGTGCCGAAACTGATTCGGCGCCCCTTGTGGGGGTGGTTTTTGCAAGGGAAACAACAAGAGGAACCAACCATGACATGACCGCCCTGTTTAAGACACAACCAAGTGGCTTGCAAGCGGATCCATCCAGGCTTGTGTTGAGTGCTATCGCATCCTCATTCAGTTGTGCATGTCCTGCCCCGAACCGAAACGCTCACTCTTTGCAATGCTCTTACGTTTCCCTTGCAACTGCAGCACCCGTTATATCGCGGCCATGACATGCTCATGCCATGGTGTTGCGTGCTTGACAAGTGTTCACGTAGCACCAGGCAAGCATCGCTCTGCAGATCCAGGTGAACAGCTTTGCCATGATGGGATGGCCAAGTTGCTTCAAGTGGACCTGGAGGGCCATGGTTCTGGAAAATGACTCGTTCGGCACCAAAAATGAAATTCCCCGGCATGACTTGGCCACTAAGAGTTGGTTCCCTTATCACAACAATTTGTCCTGCAACCCAATTCTTGAAGGATGCGTGCTATCGCTTTTAATAATTTGCTCAGAGTACTGTCATCATTGTCATGCGTCATCCAAATCTAGGGTTGGGCACTTGTTGAAACCTGCTTATAGCAATTGTTTAAAACACATTTGTCACGGCCAGCCCCCATGGGTTGCCAACCCCATTCCAAAACCTAAACCCGAAATTCAAACCTTAACCCAAACCGAAATCCAAAACCTAGACCAAAGCGTGAACCCTAAACCCAAGCGGAAACCTAAACACTAAACCTTGCACCAACAACTAGGCCCTAGACCTAAACCCGGAACCTGACCCCCAAACTAGATCCGAAACCGAGACTTGTGCCCTAAACCTATCCCAAAGCCCTGACCCTAAACCTAAGCCCCCAACGTGAACCCGAAAGTTTAACCTAAACCCGAAACCTATACCAAACCCTACACCTAAACCTTAAACCAAGACTTCAACGCTAAACCTAAACCCTAAAACAAACCTAAGCGCCCTAAACCTAGAACCCCAAAGCTCAACCAAAACCTTGGGCCAGGTGGTAGTCGCAGCATGGAGGGTGCCGGCAACTGCTGGTTTGAAAGTTCGGACCAGGGTTCAAATCCCCAAGCCACCAACCCAAACCACGGTTTCCTGAGATCGGTTTCCATTCCGAGTCTGGCCTGTCCTTGATTCCGCAGAGCTGCACGCCAGACATGCTCTGCAGCTGCTGACGCCAGAACTGAGACCTCGCGCGCCAAAGTCCCAGTTGCAGCACCCGAACAAATGGACTTCATTTCAGGGCTGACCATGTTTAGCCAAACAAAAGGGGAAAAGGACAACAACTGGAACCTTCTTTGGGCCGGGTTGACTTCATGTTTAATGAATTATGGCTAGGAAGAGATGTCACGGAACGAAACGGTGTCTCAAAGACCAAAGGCTGGTCGGGTTCCTTGGAGTTGCCTTCAAAACCAGCCTTGCTGGCTTAACGATGGCGGCATGATTGAACCTTCTACAAAACAGGTGGTTTTGCTCGCCATTTTCACACAGACCCGTCGGCCCTGGGAACAACCGCTGTACATAATGTGCACCCAGCAACCTTCGATTCGCAAGCTGAGCCGAAAAAAAGAAAAGCAACGGCCTGATCGATCAAAGCAGCAGGAGGGCGAAGCCCTCTTCCACAACTCTGGTCTAATCCTCCCAGCATGCAACTTCACTACACGACCCCGGAGGACAGAAGTGCGTTGTTTTTTACCGTCCGGGACTGGCTGAGGAGCAATCGGCGACAGCCTAGTAAATTAAATCAAAACAGTGTCCTCCGGCGAGCTGTGGAATCCATGGCATGAAAAAGAGTACGAGAACTTCATCCCATGAGCTGCTGCTCCCTTCGACATCTCTGGCCCGGCCGGCGATTCTTGAAGGGCTCCCTTCGCCCGAGCTGAGCCCTCTGTCGCCGCGCACGGGGTGAAAAATGTGGGACACGGTGCGCCTGGTTCCTTGTGAAGCGGGCCATCCCAGCTCACAGGAAGGACAAGTGGTCCTTCCGGAGGGCTGGGCTGGCCAGCTTCACTGAGAACCAGGCGAGGGTTCTTCTTCGCCGCCTCCAGGATAACGCCCTGGTCCTCCCGCAGGCCGTCCTGCGCCACCGCAGCCAGCACCACCTCGCAGCTCGGCGGCCAGCCACTTCTGCTTCTCCCTGGCCTTGAAGGCCACAGACATGGGCAACGACTTCTCTTCTCTTCTCTTGGATGCAAGGGCAAAACCGTCTGACCGCTCAGCGGCAGTTGGTGCTGCATGTCCCACCATGGCTCTCAATCACGACAAGACTATTGTAGCCGAGCTGAGCGCTGTTCAGCGCTACACAAGCAAAAAGAGATCTGGCGTGGGCGCACGCGCGGGCCGATTTTGAGGATTCTTCCCTCAATGAACAGATGCGCCAAGAATGGCTTGATGGACCCGTTGTTTCTCAACAACTGCCTTCAAACATGCAGCACTTGACATTGAGCGCAAGGACGGACAAACTTGGGAATGTTCCAGCATCCTGTATCGTGGATTCCAGGCCTCTGACTCTTTGGATGTAGCTGGTTCACTTGTTGCATGTTTGGAATCCCGCTTCGTCCCGCATCTTTCTCTTGGTTCACCATCCAGCCCAAAAGCCGGCGAACGAAGCCAAACAAATCCAACTGTTTGACTTGATGAATGTTTGATTTCTACTGAAATGAACAACCAAGGAGTCTCCAGTGCTTGACCGGTAAGCAACATTTCACGCGCACTGCGTCCATGGGCAATGCCAACACGCGGCGGCCTCATTGCGACGGCATTGGTGGCCTGCCACGGAAAGCGATCTCCGGAAAGGCTCAAGTACTCCCCGAAAACTTAACATGGAACGATGAACCCAGAAAACACCTACAAAGGATATTCCTCTTCCTCCTTTTTTTGGGTTCCATGTTAGCTTGCAGCGGAGTACCAGGTTTTCCAGTATTGTTTGAACCCAGGGAAACACGGGGTTGTCTCAGAAATTGGGGACAACCGCTCAACATGGATGGATGTCCTTTCATTCATTCATGTCTCTATGCCTCCCCCCCCGGCACAACTCAAGATGTAGATCTTTTCCCGTGTGCCCACAAAGGTTCGTGCATGGCCACGAATGCAAATGAGGGAAACACCTCAAAAGTGGTTGATGGACATGAATCCACACCCAACCGATGCCCTCCATAAACTACTTAGGTAGGGATGTCGCCCGAAATGGGTATAGCCTAGCCCAACAAATGTGTTCAGTTGTTCTCCTTTTGGTTTCCCTGTTCACCAAGGTGAACAAATGCTTACAGTACAGGGCACAACTCTGAAACAAACACAGACAACTACAAATATATGCAAAACATACATTGATCCGCCTCTTAGCTGACTTCCAAGGAAGGTAAACGGGGTATAACCCCCCTGTACCGGTACACCTCCAAAACGTAGAACAAAGCATATCCGCCACACATCCGCCATCCAGGCGACAAAGTGGCTCGGCAATGGGGGGGGGGGGGGGGAAACAGAGGGTTCCCGAAACGAAGGCGTGGCCAAATTTAGACGTGGTTTCGTAGCTGAATGGTGAATTGGAATCCTCAATGGCCTAAAGAAACACTACGAGAAAACCAAGACCATCAAAAAAATGGTTCTAGGCTAAAATGCTGAAACCAGCCAAAAGACTCAGCCGTGCCTCGCTCTCAGCCCAGGTGGTCAGTGCCAAATCCTCAACCCAGGTGTTTCGCCACAGGCCACCCTTTGGGCTTCTTGCTGGTTTTGCCATGGATTGTTTCCCCTATGATATTGTGGGGCCTGGAAGCAATGGGGTTTGCAGCTTGAAATGAAAAGACACTCGCTCCAAAGAGCTCCCATGGTAACTAAAAGGGGCCCTACAAATTGTAACAAGGAAGCACCCGACTTTGTGTCACCATGTTCAAAGTCACCCCCCTCTGTAGCTTCACCCAGTTTCTGACTTTGATACTCTCTGAACAAATCAAAATAATGACCCGGTGCGAGTTTTTTTTCTTGAGGCCCGGTGGGATACAGGGAGTTATTCAAGAGCGCTTCTAATTCGTTGCATCCAACACAGGGGAACGTGCAAAACAAAGTAAGACCAGCCGTTAAACAACCTAGGCACGCCATGCCGGGTTGGGGCTCCAGCAAATATACGTACATGTGAACCAACTGACCAAACAGAATGCTAAATCATCTTGCGTACCCCTGAGTGTTGATTTGGATTGGTTTGGAGCTCACTGAGTGGAATGGCCAAAAACCACAAAAAGTTCATTTTCCAGCAAAATTGTCCAAACTTGAAACGGAAATACCCAGTTAGTGGGGAAGGGCTGCAAAAGGGAAACGAAAGGGAAACCAACCGTTTAAGACACACCCATATTGCCAGTACACCAGCTACTTACTTTAAGACACCTACTATTTTAGGAGCTCCCTCAAAACCAAACCTTGGAACGGCCCTGCACGCAAAGTCACAGATTCGACTCCTCCATGGCACTGGCTGCACAAAGCTCCGCAAAGGCGCGGGTGACCTGAACCGGAGCGAGGGATCGATCTCATGAGGAGTTTGTCCGGGTGCCCTTGGATCACTCGTTCGCGTTTTGGGTTTAGTAACGTGTTAGGGTTGGAGGATCACTTTCAGGGCTTCAATTCCTTTTGGCAACCAGCAAGAAAAGCAATATTCCATGTTGGAAAGAGGGTAGGACAACCACTTTTAGATGGCTTCCCAAACCAGATTCTGTGCTAAAGTGTGATAGCCGGAATTGGGTGTGAAGATTGGCTCCGCGCCCTAGAAGTTGGTGTCTGCTGTCCTCCTTGTTTCCCCAAAAGGTTGACTTAATGTTGGCCTTCCGAATAGTTTGGCTCCCCTGCCGAATAGCTTGGCTTTGCGGTTGCATTTTCAAAGCAAGACCAACAAGAAACCGGCCATTTGGGGTGGGAGTTTTCACTGCCCACCTGTTCTAATCAGTTCTCTGCTACTTTCAATGAAGCAAGGATGCCTGGAAAGGTGGGGGAAGTTTCCAGTTAATTCAGCAAAGCAACACTCTCGAACTAACCTTTTCAAATAGGAACAGAACCCCCCCACGACGGACACAGCTTTCAGGGTTCAATGACGGAAACAGCCAAAAGTAAGAAAGGCCAACCGCAAGATGCAGGCTAATGCTTCCCTACATCAGGATCGGACCCAGCCAACTTCAGATTCGTGAACCGAGCGCATGGCATCCACTGGCGGCATGGCAACCACATGACCCCCAAACCGAATACTTGTTGTCCCGCCAGAGAATAACAGAACAATTGCTTTGTGCCCCTTCTTTGTGCTGGGAACCGGGTTGTCCCCCACAAGTTCCAACCAACATAGTCTACCAATTGTTGTGTCACTTGGCTACATTGCACATGCACAAGACACCGCTAGCGCAGGCATGCAGCGACATGTGTGAAGTGCCCAAAACCGGTTGACTTTTGGTTATAACATCTCTATCAAGGCTCATATAGGCTTTACTATAACCCCCATAACTTGACCAGACTTAGACCCCTGCAAAAAAAGTAACGGCAAAGCCAAGTCTTGCAATGATTCCAGGTAGTAAAATCAACCACGAGCATTGCCTCTTTCTCTTTTTCTTGGGGGGGGGAGGGTTTGGGCGCAACACATGTGCAAGTGCAAGCTGCCTCACAGCTCATCACGTCATCCTCCAACACCTGCAACCGGCAATTTAATGCATTTCCACTCGCTCTCTGTTAATGATACCTTCATGTCAGCTTTCCTCCGATCGGAGGTATCCCAGAATTGTTTCCCATGAGCCCGCAACAAGAACCAGGGGTTCTCCCAATCCAAACCACCAATTAGGGCAAACCTGATCATGCGTCAATGACTTAAAACAACTACTGAATGGACCAAAACACTGGTGCTCCTGAAATTGGGGGTACCAAAACCAGAAACACTCTGGCAACTGGCCTTGATGTTGGTGATGATGGCAGTGGGAACTTCCTCAGAACTGCAGGCTCTTAAAGGTGGCATTGTGACCTTGAAAGCTCTTGGCCTTCGTGCATGACAACCGCTGAGCTTGAAAATGCACGACTGCCGAGTGACCTACCATGGAATGGCCAAAGGCATTTTGCAATTACCACTGGGCAACGCAGTGGCTATGTCAGGGCTTCTCCAAAGGGCGCAAGGGCAATCCCAAAATACCGTACTAATCATGGGTGGTCCTGTTTTGGTAAGCAAATAATCCATGTTTTGTCTTTGGTGGCTGGGGGGGGGTTCTCTGACTAGTACAGGTCTCCGTATAGATCCTAAGCTAAGAACATATACACTATAAACTATAGACAGTCGGTCCCTGTTCATCTTGAGGCTCGGCGCCCTGGCTCCCTTGCTTCAAAGCTGGGAGCTGCACTGGCCACAGCAGCAGTTGCAAAAGCGGCATCACGATGCCACAGACTTCTGCTTGACGCATGGCCCGCACAAAAGCGACGATGGCACCTCCACGCAAAACCATTCAAAGCACAGAATAAACACATCCAAACCATGCGATCCGCCCTACTCGGCTTGCCAGGTCAGCTGTGAGTTGCGTGTCCATGGAGGTAACCAGAATAGAAAGGGAGAAAAGCTGCCGCTGAGCAACTAGGCTGGTTCGTGTTCAACCAATTTCTTGTTTGACACTGGATGAACATGTCCAAAAAAGCAGCAGCAAACCTGCCCCCAATCCACTTTTCCTGCAGGCTTCCGAGCGTCGCACTCTCTCTCGCTCTCTCTCTTTCTCTCTCTCCTTCTCACAGGGCATCCAGAAACCAGATCACGAAGAATCGCTTCCCTGCAACAGTTCACATAGAACCAGGAAGGCCGTAATTTCTGGAGGCAACTCCTTTTGGGGGACCCACTAGCGGGGTTCCATGTCAACCTGTGGGAGAGTAACTACTTGGCCAAGAGTTTGACAACCCAAACTGCCTTCTCACGTTGAGGCCTTCATTCTGATCTCACTTCCGATCAAGTGGAGTGGCCACACAAAATGCAAGAGCTTGCTGCTCAAAATGGGCCAAAGCCCAAAAGTGACTATTCAGGTAACCCCAAACTGGTGATTACGATTGGTGACTTGGGTTGGGCCCCTTGTTCTAGCACAGGACAAATGGAGACCCCCAAACCACCAATGCAAACCGCAATCTAGTGGGAAGCTGACAAAGTCCAAGAACTGGGAAAAACAGATGGAGAATGCGCAGGTGTCCATCCTCTCAACGCTGAGAAGCCGACGTACTGCCAGGGCGAAATTCAGGGGCTGATGGGTGGTGTCCATATCTTGCCAGCGAGGCATACTGATCTCGTCCTGCAGATCCAGCCGAACGCTAAAGCAATCGACTTGCTGATAAGACAGCCAACTTACCAAGTTCGCCCTCTCCGAGTCAATTCCACTATGTTGCTCCGAAATCCTCCGAAGGGCAAACAATGGCGCCGGATGAACGGAAACCAAAGGACACTTATTAGCATTTTCCCCATAAGGTTTGGTGTTGTTTTAGGCCAAAGCGGCAACCCCGCAAAATGTTGATTCCTAAGCACTCTTGGTGGGGTTTATTGGAGGTTCCCCCGAGCCTGAAAGATTCCCCCTCTGAAACGGGGCATCTGCCCGTCAATGAACCATGGGTGCTTTCATCCTGGTTTGGTGGCTTGGCGGTTAGGAATCTTCCCATTTGGCTTCGAGAGAAAGGGGGTTCAAATCTCCAAACCACCATACTGGCTGCCATAAGCAGGTTGCAGTGCTTTCAAGGTAAGTGCAGTAGATTCAGCGGCTTCCATTGAAAGGCGAACAACTGTTGCCCAGTTCCCCTCACAACTGGATCTTTATCTGTTCGACCCTCCCTAACATGGAACCTGACAAGGGGTCCCTTCAAAAGGAACTTGATCTTCAAAAGGAACTTGATCTTCGAGGTATTCAGGGTATCCCAGACTAATCCCTGTTGGGGCCAACTGGGGATCTTTGGCTGGGATTTCTTGCTGGTCTCTGGCACCCTGGCTCGCGAACCTATAGTCCAAATAAGTATATTTGCTCTTGGTTCTTGAGGATGCCCCCTTTTTCGCGGGTCGCTTGTTCAGGGCAACCAAAGGACCACCAAACCTGCTTGATTCTTTCCACGACAACTCGTCAGTAGAACTCAGCTGCGACATTCGAATCGCGCCTGCAAGGAGTGGGGCTGCCAAGGCTCTGCCAGCAGAAGCTGAGGCAACGAACCATGCTCCTCCTCGCGCTTCGTTTCTATCCGGAGGGATTCCCATGAGATAAAAGGGTACCCCCCCATGTCAACACACAAACACCAATTGTTTGATTTCCCTGAGGTAGTCTTTCCTAAGGGCGGGCGATGTCCGCCGAAAGCAAAATCCCTGGGTTTTAAGTCTACCTTAGGAGTACTCCAACAAAATGGAACCCTAACTCCAAGGCTCCAGTGGAATCCATCCTTTCTCCAAAAGACTCCATAGGACCTCGTATACTCTTCTTCAGAAACTATCATGGCACTGACGAATGATCCTAAGTCTTCTGGGCAACGTGAATAGGTTCTCCTGGTAAATGAGAACCAGACGAAAACAAGTGAAATCCGCCCACTTTCAACCGAATGGATCTGAAACCACTGCCAAGGCTCAAAGGGAAACGGGGTACCTGTACAGGAATGAACCTACTTTTCTGGCCGAATGTCGGCGCCCGACTAATCAAAGGGTACCAAATACAATGCAGCTTTCCCAACATTGCTCTCTACCCCCAGAATGAAAAGGGGTACCTAATACATGTTGTTTTTGCTTGGAAACAAATCCGGACCAATTGTGCAACCGTCCCCCAACCCTGCCATAAAGACATGTCCATTTTCCTTTTCTTGTCCAGCACTTCTTTCTGCTGCTACGAAATCTAGTTCCTGAGGAAGTCTTGAGGTCTGACACATGCACGCCAAGTGCCAATCCACAACAGCAGCAATACTAAACCAATACCACAATATAAGCAATACCCAGCTAGTGCTAAACTTGGGAAAGGCCAATCTGACCCCAAATCGTGTGAGCGGTTTCTCTGTTGAGTCCAAGGGCTGGCCAAGACTCGTTCACCACTTCTGGTTGCCAAAATGCTCCAAACCCGAAAAGTACCAAGTCCGGGAAGTCAGGGAGCGAGAAGAGACGCCAAGGGACCCTCCACGTTCTGCAGGGGTCCCTATAGCAATGTCCTGGTGGGTTGTTCCCCGAAAAATCAACACCTGCTTTGGGCTTATACATTGAAGAACGCAAGGGAAACTCCGAAACTTCCGTGATCCCATGAACCATCCAGCTCCTCAGCCATCTCGGAGGGAGTGGAAGATGGAGGTGGCCTGACATACCGCGCAAACACACACACACAGACAACTGAGTTTTTCTACTAAGCGGGGCAACCCCCAAAATGCGTGGTTTCCCTTTCCCTTTTCAAACCATGCCTTTTTGTTTGGTGCCCAAAAAAAGCACACACCCAGCTGTCCGCGGGTCTTTTGATTGCCAGCAACACGTCATGCTGCTGCTGCTGCGTAGGGGAGGAACTGTCATTCTCAGACATTCTGCGGACTACTGGTCGAACCAAAGAGCAGGCATAGACCTACGGAACCTGGCGCAGAGCTTTGGAAAATCTAAGATGACAGTGTCGAACATGAAATAGGACATGTGTAGGTCAAACAGCTACCTTGAAAAAAGACATGTGATGTGTTTAAGATCCGTGCGCTGGGATAGTCCTACAGTACGATGATGCACGTCATGGATACCAAGTTGAATTAGGAGGATCATGCCAACAAAGCGAGAAGCTGAGAATGGATAGGTCAATTTACAAGCGCGCAGAGAGAGCAAAGGCCCCTCATTGTGTTTACAGGGATTGCACCTTTTAGACAATGCATGGCCATCAGATTCATGTGACACTGTCTTATTCTGCGTCCCATGCTCAGCAAAGGCAGGCAAACACGTTTGGCTGTTCTGACCACACGCCAACAATTCTGCAATATGTGAGACTTGCTGCTTGGCTTGGAAACCAAGACAGTGGCATTGCTGGATGAGGAACAAACAAACACAGCGGCAATCCTGACGCAAGGTTGGGCACACTCTGTCCAGCACTGATACAGCTGTCCAACACTCTGTCCAGCACTCTGCCCATCCATTCAAGCATCATTCTCTCCATAAATCATAGAATGCCATCCTCCCCCCCCCCAAACAAAAAAAATATTTGAGTTCCAGAAAAGGCCTGAATCGGCGGCAAGGCCTTTATAGTGCAATATTATTACAAAAAAGGCCCTGATAGTGCATTATTATTAAAAGACATGACCTTTTTTTGGGGTTTTGCAGTCAAACATTCCATCCGTTGCAGTTGCAAAAGCGAATTCCTTAACAAGGCCTTTCAACGGACTTGGGTGTGGCAAACTCTTCCACGGGTGGCCGAGGCTATCCTTGTTCTGGCGCAGGGCTTTGTTTTCAATTTGTGTCTGGACGCTGTGTTGAGCATGAAGCTGATAAGGGTTTTGTTTCTCAAACCAAGCTGCTGCCTGGCGACATGTGTGACACAAGGTATAGCCCGCACTCAACTTAGCATTGCCAATATTTGATCTGAGACTCCCGCAACTAAACTCAACATCGCGAATACTAAAACTCGGTGTCGTCAAAAGCAGCTTCCCAATGTTGTGAATGTAGAATTGCCAATGAAGTAAAGAGGGAGTCTGCTACATTCGGTGTTCCCGGTGGACTCCAAATTCCATGGATTCCAAATTGGATTCTTTGAATGTCGGGGCTATGGCCAAACTGAGGATGCCGTGGCCTCGATGCCAGCCGGTCACATCGGAGATGCGTTTCAGAGGTCCAGTCCGGAAATCGCGTCTTTTTGAGCGGTCCATGGGGAAGGGACCTCCGGACTAAACGGTCCATTTAGGGGGAAAGGCGTGCTGAGCTTCAGGCCTTCTCAGATTCCCAGCACGCAACCTAGCATTAACATTTGCAGTGCTGAAATTGGAATTAGCAATCCTGCAGTTGGTATTGGGGAAGGTTAGCTATCTTGAATTGCCACTGATTTGGACTTGCAACCCTAAAAATGCCAAGATCTAGGATTTGCACAGCCTAGGCAAAACAAAGCTTGGGCGGCGATGGACTTGATTGGGTCATAAAAAGGGTTTGCTGCAGCCAGCCTCTCCCTACTCCAGATTGGGGCCTATAACCCTTAACATCCTAGGAGTAATGAATTGCAAAATTAATGTCTTCTGACAGCTGTTTTGGGGCTGGACCCCAGTCAATCTAATTGGGATCTCAGAATTGGGGGGGGGGCATAGCATTCTGCGACTAACCAAAGAAAAAACGGAGGAAACAGCTATATAAGCTGAAATAATCATGGCTGAAAAGAAAGGCGAATCAACCCGAAGGTGCTCTGTTTTGCAGAGCTGCTGCCTGCAACTTGTTTGCTGCGTCTCAAAAAGAGAGCCCAACAAAATCCTTTGCATTTCCTTTAAACCAGGGAACCACCCAATTTGCTCTGCCATGTGGCTACTACCCCTGCTCAAAAGTTCAACAGTCTATAACTTGTTTGCTGTTGTGGGAACAGCATCATTTCCCAAAACGTTAAAAGGTCACTAGATCCGACCCAACAGCATTCGAAATTTGAGGTTCCCTCTGTCCTCTGCCCGCAAATCGAGCCTTGGCGCCTGCCCGTCAAAGGGATTGAACTCCTGGATGCGTCCGGCTGGCGAAGGGCGGGTGCCCGGGTTTCGCATGGAAAAGACTTTCCTTGGCTCCAACCACTTGGGTCGTCCCGACAAGTTCCGATGGGAAAAGGCTAATGCGTTCCTGAAAAACAGAAACCACCGGAAACAATAGCGACTTTGTGCCCTAGTGGCTTGGTCATATATAGCGACCAAAGGGGCAACGCTGGATACATTCTTGAAATTGCTTGCAACCTGGGAGCCCTTAGGATTTCATGTGCTAGCGGCAAAAGCCCTCGAAGGGTCATGGTCCCAGCACCCGGGGTGGTTGGCGCAGGTCGCTGGCATCCTCCAAAATATCCTCTGCATTGTGATAAGGCGATGTTGCTCTTTTGGCATTTTGGTGCAAACAAACACAACCGCGCCTGTGGTTTTCTGGGACCTCAGTCTTCAGCCACATGCTGCAAGCTTGTGAGGCGACGGGCTGCCATCGCCTCAACCAGGGCTCCCTATACAATTTCCCTTAACACATCATCCCGACTAAAGGAAACTCTCGCTTAGGCCCAACAGGTGACGCTTATCGCAACCCCAAAAAAAAAACTATTGTAACCTCGGCCAACCCAACCAGTGGCGAAACCTTGCCACCAGAACAGCGAGGCAACACTCAACTAAGGTGGGGAACCGTGGGAGGGCGTGACGGATTTTCCAAGGACTATTGTTTGTTGAGACAAGCCTTGGGTTAACATTTGCATCACCAGCATAAGTGGGACCCTTTCATTGATTCATTCACACCCTGGTACTTCCAGCCTCCAAAACATGGCGGGGGTTCACAACCCAAAAAATGAAATAGAGGTCAAAAACAGGGTCCTGGTTGAAGAAGAAGCGGACGTCCGAAGAATAAAGGGGCAATTGAACGAAACAAACAAACTATCGGCTCGTGCGGGATTTCGTCGTTTAACCACACTTTGCTTTAACTCTCCAGACCTGCGAGATGTCCACATACTGCCGAGGAGTCGGAGGCTTCAAATGTGGCGCCTGGGTTGCTGGAGGCCGGCCCAGAAAGGAACTGGCAGGGGTTATTTCTTTGCACGCGTGTTGTTTAAGGGTACCCTGGTCTGGGGTCCGGTTTAAAGGCGGACCAAGAGAAGAAGCAAATGTCTTTTGGGGTCTCCATATGTTGACACAAACCCATATAGACCACCCAAATCGGCAGACGTCTGCCTTTTTGGAAAAGGCACCTTTTTGCTGTTGGCGGTGTTTTTAGTTTCCTTGGCAGCGTTTTTTTCAAAATCAAGCTCTGTGCAAAACAGGCAGCAGGAAATCGGCGGAATTCGGCGGGAAATCGGCGGAATTTCGCAGAAGCAGGTTTCAGCATGTCGGAGTGTTTGTTGCGTTTCGGCGTTTTTTTTCTCGCGGGCGGCGGTTTTTTGGCTTTTCGGCGGAAATTCCTGCCGCCGGAGGGTCCAGGTATTGAAACACACGGATCCTAAAGGGAAGCAAGGTAGTAACAGCGCTGCAGCTCATTAACTTCCCTGGAATATTCGTACCCACAGCTCACCACAATCCAAAGCCATAATCAAAATCAGTCTGCCTAAAGCAATGTGAAGTGAAAAGGCGGATATCGGCACACATTTGTGGTTGGGACTATCTCTGAACCTTCATACACCGAATCACTTTTGGCTTTCGCTGACCTCACCCACCTGAGTGTCTGTGTATGTGTGTCCAACTAGGGACGTGCACCCCCTAACTGGTATGGGGCGTTCAGGATTCAACTTGTGGTTCCCTTTGAGCCAATCCCCTAAAAGGGTGGCCCTGGCAAAACGGAAACACGCCATGTTTGTGGTCCCTCGGTTTTGCCACGGGTTTTGGTGGCCCATTTCGGGCGCTCAAATGGCACGTCGAGAAGCCCCGACGTTCGTCCGAGGCTTCGGCGATGCCGAAGACCCGCGGCAGCAGCGCTCCGGATATCACCACGGAGGCGACGGCCTGGCGCAAAGCGCCGCTGGTGCTGGGGCGCTGGCGCTGAGCGATTGGGACGGGTTTTGGGCACATCACTGGATTTCATGACCATGGCTATAGTAGGACCCTTATAAACCTTTTCAACTCAAAGCGCTTTTGAAGGAGGATCCCAGAAAATGCTGGATTGATTGGCACTTTGAAAGGGTGACCCGCTAGCAACACACAGAAGGTTGCTATTGCATCTGCCAACCAGAGCTATCGTAAGGCCTAACATTTGTGTAATTCAATCCACTTGTTGAACAGGGAATGCCTGGAAAATTGGGGTGGTGGTATCCCTGTTGGCGCCCATTCTTTAGTGGTGCCTTTGTACTTTGTGCGTTTGTGCGTGCGTGCGTGCGTGCGTGAAGGGTGCGTGCGTGGGTGGGTGGGTGGGTGGGTGTGTGTGTGTGTGTTGGTTGCTGGTCCCCTTTCAGGAACCAGACCTAAGAAACAACCAGACCCGGCAAAAAGCCTCCCCCCAATTAAAACAATCAAGATCTTATTTCCGAGCCCCAATGAGTCCCACAAGTCGCCCCAGGCCTCCGTGAGCTCGGGCATCCTGAGCTGCAGCAGCTCGCCGATGTGCGCCAGGGTGTCCTGAAAGATCAGCCCCGTCCAGCGAAATCGATGGAGCTGATTTGCAGGGTCACAAGATTCAGTGCGTCTGGGCGTTTTTGTCAGAAGCTGCGGTTGAGGATCCCGGCCCAAGAAGCACACCACCGCCCACCCTAACCACACCCCTGAAACAAGCTAAAATTAGACCAACACCAGGCTGTGTCTTTGCTTCAGAATATATACGCAAAGAAAGGCTTGCACCCAGACAGGGTAGCATGGAACCTAGACAAAAACGTCTTGTTTTAAAGGAGCCTCCTTATGTGGGGCTCAACATCTTTTTGGTTCCTTCCGTGAATTTGTCGGAAAAGAAGCCTTTCCACCCCTCAGAGCGCCTCCTCGAGCTCCAAAGCGGCACGGAAGGAGTCCCTCTCTCCACGCTGCACCGCCAGAGTCATGGAGGCCTGGGATGTCGCTCACCCGAAGGCGCTTTACCCGAAGCAGGTGTCTTTTTCAGGTTGGAACCCCAGAACATGGCGTCAGTTTTCCTTTTGGCAAGGACAAAGAGTACCAACCCCCACAAAGGACAGACCCAAGTGAGTGTCCATTTCACCCGAGCATGACCTTTGGTTCTGGTTATAAAGTTTCTGCAAGTTTTACTATAATCCCGACTACCCGCTAGAACAGACAATGGGGCTTTTGGGCGCTGCTCAAGTGGAAAGAACACGAAACTCAAGCAAACACACCACTCCGCAAACAAACCAACACAGTCTGTGCACTTGTTAGTTGGTGAGTGAGTAACCCCAGGACAAGGACATCCCTATGAAAGGAACCTCTAAGACTCTAAGAATAGTAATGAATATCCTGGCACCCCCATGAAAGGAATCCTCAGCATTGGAGGGATGGGGCATACTTGACAGGTACTTGTGTTGGAGGTTTCTTGGAAGGCATGTGTTTCGCTCTGGTGGAAGCACGGTGGCAAGATGAAGTGGTATGACTGAACATGCAACATCAGTTTGTTCATGTTTATCCAAATGCACATGGGGGTGTGTGAAAATACAGGGACCCCCTACATGGGTCATGGTCCTTTTGGTTTCGCTCTACAACCACCCAAAATGGTCCTCAAAAAGAAAAAGCCTATAATGGAAAAGTTGGAGCATGGTTGCGATGATTTATGCAGCAAGATCTCAGCTCCTTGAGCCCAAACCCTAGCTGCCCTAGCTGCTGAAGCCGGAAAAGCCGGCTTTCAAGTACTTTGGGAGATTTGGGGCAGCTCATTGATCTTCCAGGACGCTGAAACGCCCTTTGAGAATGCCTGATCCCCCATTTGAAAACGAGCGGAACATCAAGAATCAACAAAGACCCTCTTTTGTTGGGTCGTGGGAAGACCGAGGGCGTTTGTACACACGATCTTAAACATTGTCAGAATGCCTCCTGCAGTCCTTTGCACTCTCTCTGGATTACGCACATACCAGGTTCTGCGATACCAAAGTGGCATTCCCATCTCTGCGACTATGGATTCACTTCTCACAGAAAAGCAGCAACCTAAAGCCAACAAATTCTCACAACCCTGCCTATACCCAATAAATCTACAAGTCAATCTTTGGCGGAGCCTTGAAGACGCAGGCATTGGGGTCAAACACTCGGTCACATTTCTGGGTATGCGTCAAAAGTCAAAATCGCGGGACCTCCAAAATTGTGTTGGTGTCCCTTCACATGACCTGAACAACTTATAACACAACACGCAACGTGCGGGGCCCCTAAAATGGTTGGTTTCCTCTTGGTTCCCAGCATCTAAGACAAATCTGTTCGGTTGCTCCTGCAACTTACCGCCTCGGACCTCAGACGATCTGAGCCAACGGCCCAGGAAGCACGCAAACTGCCGGCCAGTCGTGGAATAAGTTGGGCATGCGCCACCTGCCAGGCCCTGGGAAAAGGGGAAACCTTTTTTGGGACCCTTTCTAGTGGGGAACCCGCCCGGTAGAACAAAACCCTTGATCGAAATGACAACGCTCATGGTTGTGCAAGGCAAACAGTGCGATACCAATGGCTTGAGTCCCATGACTACCGTATCAGCGAGCAAGAGCCAGAGCTTCAAATCCCCAAACCACAAAAACCGGAGGGCTGACCTGACACGTGATGCCCGCCATTTCGGGCCCCGAAGTAAACTTCACACCCATGAAATCCGGATGAAGCCTCAGGCAAAGCATGAATCCGCCTCCATCGCAGCGTTGCGCACCTGGTCGTTCTCCAACCGAAGCAAACCTCGCAAAGCGTGAATGGCGCCGACAACCTCCAGTTCCAGTTGCTGTGGAAGCTTGGCCCGCAAAACTGGGCGTGCACAGAAAAACATATGTTCAAATTGGGGGGGCCGGATCGCGATTGAGGATCGATTTGAACAGCCCAAGCCTAGGGCCTTCTTTGGGCGGGTCCATCCCAGTGCATCTGGGTACAGCAGGACACACACCCTGCCAAGCCACAGAGATAGGCCGTTCTGGCGGAGGTTCGCACCATGTGATCCTTGTGGGTCGCCATAGAAGTGGCCTACAGGCGAGCCCGCCCTCATATGGGTTGTCTCAAAGAGAATTTCCAAGACAGGATGTGCAATGCTCGCAAAATACTGTCAAAGCCATGGTTGTAGTGGCACACATGGATGTGGGTTCGCTCGGGTGGCTAAGGGGAAACTAAGGGGAAGCTGCCACTCTGCGGAGTTCAAATCCTATCGCACACACGCATACTGCGGTTGCAACATCAACGAAATGGCGAAGCTCAACCACCCAAGCTCCTGCTGGAAGAGGGGGAAGATGCACTTGGACCGTGCCTGGCGCAAAACAAACGCAGGTGTACGAGACCGCACACATCGGGACCTGGGCAAACTACTTCTGGCTTTCTATCAAAACCCAAGAGAGAGCTCCCAAAACAAAGCACTAAGCAACGACGAACATCTGGACAAATTACATTTCCCAGACCGGATGGGCTCGCTTCTGGGCTCGTGATTTGCGCAGATCCGGATGGGTTGCGAGGTTTCAAAGGACACACAGTGATATGGCTAACGGGAACCCACCCGACAGAGGTCCACGCGCTGTTGGACACATCCGGGATGGTTGTAGTCCGCCGACCCAAAGGAGTTCCAAGGAAGGAGCCTTCCTGATGAGGAAAATGGCGCAAAACCTTGGCGAGGTCGATGCAACGTGCTCGGGAAGTTGATATATGAAAACCTTGCCAGGCAACTAGGATAATGTTTCAGTCACTGGAACGTGATCATTTAGCAGGATGATTGGAACTATGACAGCTTCCTTGAAAAGGAAAGCCCCAGCAAACGTTGGAATCAGCTCCACAATGTTCAGACAGGCGGCTCAACCGGATCCAACTGTGCCGCGAAGCGGCGGAGTGAAGCTCATACTCCCCATGTGCCAACTTGGTGACTTGGCTTGGAATGTGGCTGCAACTCTCGTGTGATGTCTGGGGGGGATCAAATCGGCAAAGACCGGTGCACCCCCTTGAATACAAAGTTTCATATGGGACCGCACTGCAATTCCCACGTACCCTTCTTGAGCTTGCGTAAGGAAACGTACGGGTGTGCCAGAATTCAAAACAAACAACATGGCCCCATGCCAATTTCATGGACCATACTGGATACAGCGGAAAAAACACTGGTCAGCTTTTTGTCACGCCTCCCCCAGGCCAGGCTGCTGGACCTTGGACCCATTGGACATGCAAAGCGCGGGCCGCGTGTTGCTCGGTGATTCACTCGTATGTATGATTATGCATTGCGTGATTACTTGATTGCTTGAATATTTGATTGTTTGCTTGTTTGGTTGGTGTGTTGGTTGCTTGTTTAAATGTGTTTGGTTGCTTGCTTGTTTGTTTAAACTTGCTTTGTCGTTCGGTCAGTCACTCGTACACGCCCATCTGAGCGACTCAGAAACAGGAAGCGCCTAGGACTTGTTTGGGGTATTTGGTGGCTTCCCGCTTGCTGAGTGCTTCATTGATCCGCTAAAAGTTAAACTGATGGATATATGGGTATGTCGCTTTTGGCGGAAACTCTTTTTGTGCTGACAAAACGAAACAACAGGAAACCATTTGGGGGGACCCAAAAAAGACACCCCCCATATCATAAATCCACCTGAACTCTAAGCTAAAGCCTAGATAAGGGGTGGGAACCACCAAGTTTAGCAGGGATGGTACAACTTGTTGCCATGTGCTTCCTTTCTTTCGGTATCCTGTATTTTTTCACGGTGAAATTAAAAGCCAGGGCCAACTACACAATCCCACTTCAGCTGAGCTGCTGGATGGTGCGTGAGCAGCAATGGAGCGGTCCTCGGCTCAGATCGATCTCAAGAACCGCGGGCCCAATATATTCAACCATATAAGGACCTGCATTTCTTCGACCCATAAGGCAAAAACGGTGGGGACGAGGCAGGAAAAGCAGCATCCCACATTTACCCAACCAAAAAAAACCATCAAAGTGTGTGAATAGTGTTACGGCTTTGTGACCTGGACGTGGGGTGGTTCAATGTACTGAGTTTATCGTGCTGTGTCAGATTGAGATCAGTTGATATAGCTTTGATGCTGTTTCATGAGCACACACACAGATATAGATACACATGAAAAAAAAATACAATGTATATAATAATGTATTCATACATACACATATGGAAAGACCCCCACTTATATCTATATATATATACATACACATATGGCGAGACCCCCACGCTGCCGTCTAGGCAGAAATCTTGTTTAGGAGGATATAGGATTGTTTTGCCGGTTGGCGACATTCATTTTTATGCATGGCATCCCCCCAAACACGGTGCCCCACACCAACAAACACTTCCCTTTTGGCATGGCGACAGAGACATGGGCTTATTCGACTCGATCTCAGGCAATGAGCACAAAGTCAAGTGATCCAACCCCAGCCAGTGTCTGAGTGAGTATCAGGCCAGTGTCCCGTTGGACTTTGGCCCCTAGACCCAGGGAAGCCGAGAAGTCGGGAATGACCGAATCCGAGTTCAGGCTGGTTTGGACTGAACCGGCTTTGGGCTTTCCCGAAGAAAGGAAACCACGAGTCGGATGGGCTACAGGGGCCATTCCATGTCTCATTCCCTGAGAACCACAAAAAGAAACAACTCGACATGAAAAACCGAGAATCGCCTGGACCAATTCTATTTTGAGACAAACCCAACCAGTGTGGTTTTGCAGGGGTCGCTGGATTTCCCCCTCCAAAAGTAGTGGGTTCCACTGAAACTGCCACTTTTGAAGAACCATGAACAAGGAAAGGCTCGGAATCTGAGCGAATCAAAATCTGAGGGCTGAGCTCGTTGTCCACCCGCAGGGCCAGGCCCTTCACCAGGGCTACAAAGTAGGCCTAACAAGCTGGGTGTTGGGACCTGCGTTGGTTTAAAAGGAAATGCTTGAGCAACCATCACTTCCTCACTTCCTGATGGGCCAAAACAGTCCAAACTTCTTGTCCGCTGCTAATATGGTCTTCCCAAAATGTATATGAAGTCCATGGAACTCAAGAAGGGAGACATTAGGGTGAGACAAACCCATGTGAATACTATTGGTTTGGATGGACAAACCCCCAATCCCAATTTGCATTGGTGGAACTTATCCCAGTTGTCGGGCTTCAATGGTGCAGGATATTGATATTGCCCGGTCAGATTATTCAACCAACCTCCTTCTGGTTCCCCTTTAAAGGTGGCCATGGTGTTCTGCCCATCCTGGCTTGACCGGTGGCGAAGTTACCAGTGATTTCAAAAACGTACTCATACCCACGCGGAGGTTGTGGTCTTTTGAAGGAGCTGGTCTTACAAAAGGGCTAAGTTGGTGGTAATACATGGCGCACATTCAAGTGCATGATGACTCTGACACCCTTGATTTCACTGCATGGTATTGACCTGGCAATGGTCCGGTTTCTGGTTGTTCCCTCAAAAGTTGCAAGAAACATGGCGACAAAGTCTTCCCAGAAAGGGTGGCTAAAAGTTTCTCAGAGTTGGGGTCAGTTGGTGTCGCTGTATGCTGCTATATGTCCAGTTGTCCACCACAAAGGTATAGACTCAAACAGCTATGAAGTTCAACCGGGGGTACCCTCCCAAATGGTTGCTGGACATAAATTCCAATCGAATCCTGATGGCCACTAGAGATCCCCAGAAAAAATCGGCACCCAAAGTCCGAGCATTGGTCGTCTTGCTCGGGAACTCAACCACCATTGGCAATTGGGCCTATGTCCACCAGTTGAACTCACCTTGCAACTCGGAAGGGCCCAACTTTGGCAGTGAAGGCCAAACATCTTGCTTGCCTTGACGAGGGAGAAAAGGTGCTCTCAAGTTGGGAGATTCGTCCTTTTTGGTGGGAAGCGGCTTGGCTCGAGTTTGCATGCCCCTTGCATTTGAAGGAAACACCATGCATGAGTGGCTTCTTCTTGGCCCTTGCAATCCCCTGATGTCGGCACACAAACACTACCCAGCGAAGTGGGGCAAAGTTGGCTCGCGCCCCCCAGGATGTTCTGCTCAGGTCCTTGCCAAGCATTCCTCGTTCGGAAGCTCCGGCCTCAGCTCGCGACAAGTGGAATCTGGTTGATTACACAACCTGCACTTTCCGGGGCAGCCCCTTTGCGGGAACATGTTTTGGAGGGTCAAGAGGCGAACTTACATTCCCAGGTAAACGCAGTGCAAAAACAATTCAACCCCCAAATCAGCTGAGGCATGCACTGGCCAGTCAGAAGCTTGCTCCACTCGCTGTCGCCCAGCAAGCAGGAAAACGATGCTTCCCGGCGGACCTCATCAAGAGCTCCACTTGAAAAAGTCTCGAGGGTCCCCACATCGCTGCAAAATGAAACATGGAGTACTGTGCAGTTTGACCGAACCTCATTTGACGATGACCGCGACTACATCAAGTGGGCCAGCTATCCAAGTGAAGTGACGGAATCGGTTGTTTGAGCAAAATTCGGTCCATGCTCTCCTGCGAACCCTGCCCTTGTCCTGTTTGACCCATCACTGCGGGCAAGTCACGTTCTGGACAAGTATGCACCTTAGGCACGGCAAGTGTCACTCTTCCGAAGTTGGTCACACAGTGCCGACATGCTTGTAAAAATAAAAATTGCTGCAAAGATAGGGCAGAACTGATACAAGTAACTTAACGCGCACACATACACACCCACACACGCACATCTGCATGCTCTTGTGACAGCCGAAGCGACAGAATATGTGCAGAGAACACATCGTGGCTGCCCGCCTCGAACGCCTGCTCTAACCCACATGCTTTTGACTAAAAGGAAAAACATTCACAAGGAAAGCACGTCTGCTCATACTAGTCACTTTCCTGGCCTTCCATAAGCAGGCCAGCGCGGCTCTTGACAAGCCAAGTTCGGCGTTTGCTCAACAAGGCAACAACTTGCCTGCATGCCTCAGGCTGCCAATGCACTCTGACACAGCCAAGAGAGTTCTGAGGGGTAATCCAAAAAACAGGAGCCTTCATTGGTCACGGTGCGTGGAGTAGTTGCCAGTCGGAACTTGCAGTGGGTCCACTAAAGCGTCTGGTGCCACAGGTAAACCAGGCCCAAAGGGAAATGGGGTTACACTTCTAGTGGAGGTTCATTCCGAGAATAGTTTTCTTGCTGAATCTCAACAGTGCCCCCTTCCCGTTTCTTATCGTGTGAAGGGAATCTAGAAGCAAGCAATTGCTCCTCATCTTCCAAGGCCTATCGAATGGTACCAAGTGCATCCAAGTGTACATGGGGAGCTTTGGAGAAAACTGCATTGTCTCCAATAACTAAGAGTCACATGAAGATTTCATTGGCCTTGGGAGTGAGAAATACTGTTATGTACCTGGATTGGCCTCGGATAAGTCAAAGGATCAGCCCCTAACAAGGCCGCAAAAGGTTTAGTAGGGGACAGCCCCTCCCATAGCTCCCCTTAAAGGTCTGCCTTATCAAATACGGGAACCCCCATTCCGTTTTGGCCTCCGATTCCCCGTACCCCAAAAAGCGTACCAACTTCAAAACAGGAGCCACCCCAGAACCAGCAAGTCTGTTTGTCCTTAAAGTCCGACCGCGGCACATGGTTTGCAGGAGCTGGAGCCGCACCGACGGCGCGGTCCGGGAGGTGAGTAGTGCTCCCACGAAGTAGGACAGCACCTCGCCCGCCCCCAAACTGAACGCCGAGCCCCAAACATCACTCCAAAAAATCCGGGGTCCCTTCTGGCTCCGAATACCCCGTAGAACCTGCAACATAAGCCTTGGACCCTTGAAGTGGACACAATTCACATGGCCTGCTTTTGAGGGTAAACATAACAGCATTTTGGAGACAGACTCAGCCACAGACCATAACAAACCTCTGCAACCTGACCCTGCAAAATGTACTGCTTGCTTGCTGAAAGGTGAACAAATGGAAAACTGAGAGGCAAACGATTGTGGTCTCCCCGTTTCTGTGATAGTAGGCCATCATCCCCATGACTACCTGACTATCCTGACTACGTTGAAAACAAAAACACACAAACAAACAAAAAGTGTCACAGAAATTGGTCCTGCAAACATGTTCCTCACAACCATGCCTCGCTCCCAAGAAATCACATGTGCCGTTCGTTTGATAAGTGTCGACCAGGGCTAGTTATGAATTTGATTAAGCAACCGATCCCTGGCTCCCTTCAAAGAAGATTGTCCAAATCATACTGGCATAATCGGTGTTGCCTTTAGGCGACCCCAAAATGGCGATTGTCCTTTTGGCTATGCTTTAAAACCGGGCAAAACAGGGTACCCGCAAATAACACGCCGATATGGGGACCACTCGAACGATTCGCAGGAGAAAAAACACCCCGCCTTTTGCTCACAGAAGAGCTTGAAGAGATACGGGTCGTTCCTCTCGCCCCAGGCAAGCCTGGGGCCCCACAAAGCGGATGGCACAAAAAGTGCAGTTGGGCTTGTCAAAAAAAAAACAGGGAACCCAACCCAACAAATGGTTCTCCTTGTGGTTCCTGAAAACCAAAAGGGGCGTCATACCAAAAGAAACCTTTGAAACCTACGGTTTGCCCAAGGCAAAGAGTTCAAAGTGTTTCCCTTTGTCTCAAAAAAAATGAAAAGCGTTGTTTCCAACAAGCAGAGGCACCATGAGGCACCCATTAGTTTGCCCCGCCTCCAAAAGCACCCAGCCTCACGTTCGTTACGCCTTTACCTCCAGTTTACTGTTCATTGCCCCATGCTTGCTGACCACTTCACGTATCCTCCCCCACCCCAACCAGACACAAATGCAGGGTTCCTTAAAGGATACATCCCAAAACCAGCTGCTGCTTTTGCGAGGAAGTCCCCCAAAAAACTGACAAATAAATCCATGTATCTTTTGAGGTACCTTGTTTTGGGGGAGGGGGGGGGGTTACCAAAAAAGAAAGCCCCAGCTCTGAAGCTCTGAATGGACGCCAACGGTTCAAAAGCCGAGTGGCGCTTCAGCGGTCAGGCGCAAGTGTTCGATGACCACCTCAAGAATTTCAGTGGATTCGTGGAATCCAACTGGAAGGTCAAAAAAAAGGGCCAGACTGAGACCGCAAAAAGTGGTTCACTTCGCCTGTGACTCGGAAAATGAAGTAACCCCCAAAAGGGCATTCAAGTGGCATAAGTCTGGCAACGAGAAATGGGGGCCAGCTTTTTGGATGAAAAAGGGAAAGGCGAATAAAATAAGCCAATTCGTTAACCCCCGATCCCAGTAGGGCCAAAACACTAGTTCGGTCGGAAAAACCTACCCCAGGGGGCACCTCTTTGGTGGGAACATTGCTTTGTTGTTCGAAGCCCTTCGTTTAGTTTGGAAGCCCTTTGCCTGCGGGGTGGGGGCTGTAGATGGACAAGATCTGTGCCACACACCAGATGGGATGGATGAACGCCACGAATAGCTTCGCGAAACACCACAAATCTCTGGTGCCCGGTGTGGATTGCGCCCATCCACCCAGTTTCTTTTGCAAAGGCCCTGTGTGTCTTCGTTGGGGGAGCCAAGTGTAACTTCGGGAAAACAATGCCTCAATCAGAAGCCGAGGTCCACACATCTGCCTCGGAGGGTGTGTGAGGCCACATGGCCGAGTCCGGCGTGAGGCTCTCCATGAGGTGCGCCAGCCTCGAGGACCATAACGGTTCTCAAATGAATCCCGTGTCCCATTTCCCTTTAGATAAGAGTACCAACCAAAAGGAAGTTTGTACAATTTCCCTTTGGATACCGATCAAAAGGGGGTTCACCATTTTGAGAAACACTCGCATATGATTTGGGCAACCTCAGCGTGGTGACATATTGGAATCGATCCAGAAACTTTCAACTGGTTCCTTTTAACACCTGTGGAAGTGGATGCACGGTGGCTTACATTCAAAGCAGTGCTCACTGAAAAACCATATTATTATGATTGTTGAAGGGAGGCTACTTTTCCGGGGATCATCACATCTGCGCGGAAAAAAAACTTGCTGTTTTCTTCTGGGGTTTCCAGTGCATTACCTTGCCATCCACGAAAGCACACCCAAGTGAGCCATGGTCACGATTGTCTGATTTCAGTGAGTGCCCTCATTCTCGTTTGTCAACTTGCTCAGCGCGTGCAATGCCACACATTTCCTTTGCTACGGAAAATTGAGCGTGGCCTGTGCGGGTTTGCTTCTGCGCAGGGTATTTTCAAAAAACTGAAACAGGCAAAGTCCAAAGGTTCAACAAAAAGCAACGATTCGCTTTGGCAGTTCCCTTACTTCCCACACAGCAGGCAATGTTTCAGGTGGAAACAAATGATAGGGTCCCTGGACATCGGAGACATCCTTGCAGGATTCAAAATTTGGCTGTGGAGTCGCCACATGGTTGAACAAGATGGTGATTCTTCGGGCATATCTGAACCGAACGGGACCCTGAAGCAGGTGAACAGGGATCTTCGAAAGCTGACATCCCAACATCGAATAATCAAATGGCTAGTGAGCATGACATATAAATGCCCAAACGTTGCTCTTCACAAGTTCAGGTGAAATCCCTGATGGCGCGCTACGCTTTGGCGAAGCATCGGACGCTGGGCCGAACGGATGCCAGTCTGACCAACATGGATGCCAGTCTGACCAACACGGATGCTCTGTCTCAGAAGCCCAGGTGGGTTCCCACGCGAAAAACAGGGCGACCCATTCTTTTGGTACTTGATTTAGTCAGAAGGGCACCTTCAAACAGAAAGAGCGCACGCCACCGGGTGCCTGAGCAACCCTTCTCTCGGCTCCATCCGGCGAGGAGGTGCTTGGGGCGCTTGAGGCTTGGCCCCCCGCATGCAACTGAAACCATCTGCGTGGCAGTGCGGAGGCCGATCCTGAAACCATCTGGAGGCATACAATCCACAAAGCTAGCAGTTTCCCTCCAGAGGAGTTCGGGGCGCCAAAAGAATACGTTAGTAGCCTACTATTGTTGTTTTGGCATTTGCTCGTACGAGCTGCTGTAAGTATGCAGCGTGTCCCCAAGTGACATGGACACTTGGTGAGTAACCACCGTTTTCCCGTCTGGAAATTGGGTGAGTTTGTTCTATGTCATCTCAGTACAGTACGTGGCGTACACAGGGATTGGTGCGCATACCAAGGGTCTCTCAAGAACGGAGTCTTGACTGTAGCAAGGCATTGCGTACGCCCGAGTTTTGGCGCATGCTGATTCAGGTATGGGTGACCTTATGGGTGCAACATCGAGGGTCTGGAACAAATAGCAACTATCCTATGTGGCACCCCCAAAGGTTCTTTTGGGGAAACTAGCCCTTTGAGGGTTTGTTCCTTTGCTGATAATGGTTGCATTTGGGCATACGTTGTGTGAAGGAATATAAGCTCGAAAACGGTTTCTCGAGTACGAACGCCGGCAAAAATGCAGGCTAAGGAAAGGCAAGTTCCCCATGATTCTCAACAAAACATCACCGTATCAAGGGAAACTCATCTTAAATGGCCCCAAAAGGTGGTGTTTCAAACCACTACAAAAAAGGAAACATAAGGTCCGCTGAGGATCCCTGGAAGTAGCCTGAGGCCAGCACAGATTTGGACAGCGGCGAAGAGTGCTTTGCCTACACACGATGCAGCTGGGCTCTTATAGATGGACGTGTGTGGTTTGCACAGCCCAGTCAAATAGGCAACCCCCAAAGGTCGTGTCCCTTTAGTTTCTTGTGAGGCGTTCTAATCCCAAATCCGAGGTGCTTGGCTCCTACATGGTGTCAACAGCTCAAAAAATGGCTTCAAATCCGAATCCAAACCAATCCAAAACAGCAACTAAGGGTTAACTGAGAGCTCCAAAGGTGGTTCCATGGTTTCCTGTCAATTGAGGGCTACTTTCCACCGAGGAAAATCTCTGGACCGTCTCTACCGTCGCTGTTGGGAAAGCCTCCTGCGCTGCAGCAGCCACCTCAGCGAGCTTAATGCCGAGCGAAACTGCATCAAATTTATGTTGTTCCTCAATTCGGGACTGCTTTCTTGACCAACCTCTTTTCTTGGGCTCGTAAACCAAAGGACAAATGGACGCCAAAGCAGGTTCGGAGTTGGACAAAAACAGGGTCCTCATTCAGAAAACTAAACAAGAAAATACTTGTGCCACGGTTTTGGGCGGGGTCTTCTTGCTTTAATTCATACCCTTTGCATGCCGGAGTAGGTAGTTCTTGGCGCAGAATGTAATTTATGTTTTGCCTCTTCAGGTTTAGTCTACCCAACAAAAAGTATGTTTGGAGTAAGGGTCTATGTGGGTTTCTCTTGGGCAAGAACGCTCGTTGACACCCCGCAGACCATGGAATCGTTCCAGAACCAACCTCGAAATTGAATTCGGAAGTGCTTGACCTTTCATGCGCTGCCTTCCAAAGTGGTACTCATGGTTATGGCTCCCACAGTAACGCTTATATACAGTTGTTTGTCAAAAGGTCCTAAGAATTTGACCGTCCCTACCAAACCCAAGAGTTGATTGAATTGACTACACATGCACTCTGAAAACTCTCTGGACCGTGCCTTTAAGACCAGTGAGGATGCCTAGGATGCCTCTAGACCATCACACATGTCGCCTGTCCTTTCTCGCTCTCTTGCCACAGCGCCTTCGAAATCGCAGACCTGAGTTTTCGGCGTTCTGAAACGTGGAGTAAAGGTGGTTGAACAACTGAGTGAAGACGTCCTCCTGCAAGGCGCGAAGAAAACAGCCTAGGCCTGCCGAAAATGAGCAAGGATGCCGTTCAAGGCTCAGCCATGAAGACCCCCTTCCCAGGCGGGTTCTTATTTCCTTATAGAAATTGGAGCCACATGCAACCTAGACCGCACCTGCACACGAGCTAAGCCAAACCCTATTCGAACCAATTCGGACAAACGCTGTGATCTTCACTCGGGTCCTGTGGCGCATCGATCGGTGCGGGAGACATGGCGAAGAGGTTGGAAGTCGGAAATGAGTTGCTTTCACCACCTTGCCATGCTATTACTGAGTTCCTGAGTGCTGCCGTAAGCTCCATCCGCGCTGGTAAGCCTTTGGGCCCAAGTCAGGCTGCGCAAGCAAGTCCGCTCGGCAAGTCACTCCTGTGTTTTTCTCCAAAAAAAGTGAGCTCTCCATGAGGGCCAATTAAGCAGGGTCCAATTTGACAACTCTGGGTCCATGAAACTGGTTCCATTTTCAGAGATTGTCAAACTAAATTTTTGGAGCCCGCGTTGCTTCCTTTAAACTTTTAGAGGATTGAAGGTCCATTGGCAGCGGCCCATGTGACATTTCCGGGGTCAAAAGGATCCCTTCATGTCAAAAAAGGAGCTCAAGGAGGGTGGCTAGCGGAGCGGTGTGAGTTAGCCTGTACGCCAACATACGGCAGCGCTCACCACAATGTCAACATCTACAGACGGCATGCGGCGCAACACCATCTGCATTTTTTCTTTTGAAAGGGGGATCGCTTCTTTGGCGAGGAGACCCAAGGGCCACAAGTCACGGGGGCCCTCTGTCGATAAATGGACAAGGAGGCTAACCCTGCACGGAGACAAGCCTTCCATCAGCAAGGAAACGACAATTAAAAGTTTGATGCACTTCCCGGGAGAAAATGACCCCGGGAATGCCCTGTGCTGTCGGCATTACCTTGTTCACTATTAGCGGTCAGGGCGGCAGCGGCCATCAAGTGAAGCATCCCTCTGGTTCCAGCCATTCTCCCTCAAGGGCCTTTTCAGATGGCGGTTCAAAGGATGCAGTTCCTACATCTCAGCTGGAAGGCTGTGTCATGCCGTCTTGCATGCAAAGAAGTGTGCGGTTACAATGCAAGTATGGATGCACTTGGACAATGTGAGTGAAACTAGGGCGGTTTAGCTGTGAGACACCTACATGGAGCGTGAACAACTGTTATGCTTCGAGGAGTTGATTCCTGCTAGAATCAGCAAAAACTTCCCCTAGCTGCTTGGCGGCTTTCTGGAGGAAGGACCCCCTTTGTTCCGCAGAACAAATGGGAAAGTTACCCCTAGAATAGTTGGGAAATGAGATGTCCCAAAGGTGGAGGTGCCGCTTCTGGATGGTGTTGAAAGGGATAAGGAAACCCAAAAGCAACCCTGCCGGCATGGCTGTGAGAAATCAGCTTCTCTGGGACACCCGAGTGGGGTTCCAATCCCCATGATTACTTTGTCACTCGAATGGGGGATCTTCCTTTTCGCCATCCCTCCTTACGAATAGTCAAGGTCCCCACATAGCCCAAGAGTGACTGTCACCATTTCGGGCCACGATTCCTATGGCTCCCCTTGCTATGGCTCTGCATCAGTATTGGTTGGACCTGTGCGCCTTCCTGTGCATGACATATGCATTGCCATTTGCATCGGGAACAATCAATCATGCAAAAACATGCACCCGTCTTGGTGTCATTGTGCGCCGTCCACCCTCCACATGAATATACATGCTTGCTGTGCCGGTGGCTGTTGCTTTAATACTCACTTCTTGGCAAGGAACCATGTCCCATGCACCTCAGAACGCAAACCATTTCGTTGCGGGCTAGATATGGTGATGAACGCATGAAAATATCGGCATCGAAGCAGAAAACCCAGGGGGTTCCGCTGTTACAACCAAAACGAATGGTACTCATGGGTAAACACGTCCCCTAGCACCTCGCAAAACTGAACAAGCCATAAGTTTTGCTTTGCTTATGGCTTAAATAATTTCCTTCAACGAATGTGGGTTCTTGCATCTTCGCCAGAGGATCCCCAATAAAAACTATGGAATCACCTTTTAATGGGTTTGAAAGGGGCAAGACAGCCATCATTTTGGAGAGCCCCCTCATGTTGAGACCTGCTCCAGTATGAGCAAGTGGCAAGAAACCTTACACAGAGTACAGGACATGAAAAGGAGCCGGTGATCCTTCTAAAGGGCACTGAACACCTTGAAACCCGACGGCGAATGATACTCATGCGCACAACTGGAAAGAATTAGGATGGGAAATAATAGAGACAGACATAAAAAGATGTTAGACAAGATTATGAAGGGAACCGACTGGAAGGTAAATCCTGATATTCAGGTAAGAACCATTTGAGAACAAGACTAATGTTGATTCCAGATCTTCTGTCTCCATTTCTTTTCTTTTAATTTCCGTCTCATTTAGATTTACATTTCCCTTTTTACATTCAATATTGCTTGGGAATCCTAATGCAGGAGAACTCTACAAAGAAAGATATGAAGGATTCCCATTCTCTATATCTCTTCAACATGATTTTCAACACTGTCTGCTTCCCTTATCCTGTTCCTTATCCTTTTCTATTCGATGTTATTCTTCTAAAATTGGATTGTTCCCTACATCATATTATTATAGAATGATTATATCATTTACACATTTATTAACATGATAATAAATACAAATATAAAATAACATACTTGTCTTCTTACATCTTTCTTACTATCCTACATTGTCTTTCTTGTAATTATTCTTACATGATATTCATCTCTTGTCTTGGTAACTAGAATTATATTCCTTTCACCAGCTTATTAACATCGTGCCTGGCATTGGAAATCCGTAGAAGCGAGAAATAGACAAATAATTATGATTTTACAGTTTATCTTCTGTTTGCATTTATCTGAGTCTTTATTACTAGCGGTCATCTTCATTCCCTTTACCATGCTATCTCAGAGATAACCAGCTTTCCACCTATGTCTGAGATTGAAGGATGTTGAAAATAGATATCAAAAAGAAAGGAATACGAAAGGAAAACAAGGCTCATGCTTGTAATCCGTATTCCTCTTCTTTCCATTTACCATCTCTATCTTCTAAAAATAGGATTAAACATAAAAAGCATGATAATAAAGATGGAAATAGAGGGATAAAGAAGGAAAATGACTCATTGAACATCTAGACATATAGTATTTCTATCTTATTATTTTGTTATGTTGTTTTCATTCACTAGTTAAAACATGTAATCATAAAGGCTTAAAAATCTAGCATGTATTATCTGGATTCATCTTTGGAATATCCGGTACATTAATATCAGTCCTTAAAACAATATAATTATATTCATCAGGACATAGGACTATACCTCCAGAAAACCAGAACTTCTATAATATAGGCATTACATTGCATGGCTTTCTTTGATTTTTTTTTTAGTAATGCCTGGCTTGTTTGGAGGATTTGGAGATTAGTTTGTACCTATCTTTCAAGGATCTCCAGAAGTGGTATATCCTAGAGTCAACAATATATCTATCATAATTGTAATTGTTTTACGTTCATATATGTTCCTAATCCTTGCTTTAATCTCAGAATTTGGAGGTGATACGGATGCACATTACATCCACCATGATCAACTTCTTTCACGACTTTATCACCTTCAAGTACAGGAATTATTATTAGGATCATTAATCTCTAGTATATTTTCATGTCTTACATCTCCTACCCTTTGGACAACAATTATTAAATCCGATATTTTGTTATCCTATGTTGAAGGCGATCCCATTATTTCCTTTCCCTTTCTTGATTGCAGCTTTCATGTTTTGTTAACATTGCCTATCTTATCTGGTGCACGTATTATAATGTTGGGTGATCTGCATTCTAATACACTTTTGTCTGATCCAATGTTTGGAGGAGATCCCATATTCTATCAACATATATTTTGGACATCCAGAAGGTTACATCTTAATACTTCCTGCATTTGAGGATCATTTCCATAACAAATTCTGGGATTTTACAGTTAATAATCTTTGCTAAGCAATCAATGATCCTTGCTATGTCATATATTTATCGTCTTGGAAGTCTTGTTGGGGACATCATATGCATACTGTAGGTTTAGAAAGTGATACAAGAGCTTATTTTACGGGAGTTACGATCTTAATATCTTTGGCCTTATCGGCTTGCCCAGGGCTGCTGCAGCCTCTCGTCAGTGCAGCAAATTATTGTTGTGCTCGATAACAAATGCTCGGTGTGCTTGTGTGTTCGTGTGGGAAATGTCAATCCAAAATCAGCGCTCACAACAACGATCTCCTCAACTCTGACGTCCAACGATCCAAACATGGAACGTGAATGCTGGATGAATGCAACATGTTTAGGTTAAAAGACGACCTTCCGTGTCATACCTGTTCAATGTTCACCAGCGAGGTCATTGGTGGATACAGCAAACAAGGCAAGTAGTTCTATCCAAACAAGTGAGGTGGATGCCGGGTACATGCATGATGAATTGAATGTCAACAAAGTTCCAAACACGCAAATCTTGATGCTTGAAGAAAAGCATCAGCAAAGATCCCATTCACCCCCAAACACCAAATACCAAAGACCTGTGGAAAGAAAAGCTTAGAGTGAATGTGTCTAGACTCTTTTGATCAGAACCCTTGCACGTCTTCTCCTGTAGGTTTGGCAACCCCACGGCAACAACCCAACCCACAATCCCAACTCCATCACTTCTCTCGGGTCTTCGGGCCCCGCCCCTGGCTGTTTTTCTTAAGACAAACAGCCCCCCAACTTGCAAACCCGGGAAAGGAAAGCGAACCCTCTGTCAACTTCCTCGCGTTTCACCCCTCTTAGCCACCTCCCTGAAACCCCAAGGCAAAAACCTCACAACCCATTAACATAAATGCTAAAACCCTTACCTAAACCCCAAACAACACAAATCTGAACCTTAAACCTCCTAACCTAAACCCTGAACCCCCTGACGTGGTTCCGATCTCGGGCTGGAAAGCCAACGAGTTTGCCCCTCGAAAGTGATGGCTGAAGGTTCTGAAGGACAGTAAGCAAGAATTGTTTAGTTCGACCACTGAAGAAATCTTAGCTTAAATCAGTCTCTCATTTTGTGAAGGGAACCCAACCGTATTTGGTAAACCGCTAGAGCAACCATATAAACTCAACCTTGCAATGTAGGTCAACAAGTATCTCCATGCTTGCCGTTTGAAAAGGCCATCAGCAGTCACTTACGCAGTGTGAGCTTTAATCACCGACTGACAGCCCCCGAACAGAAAAAGCCAACTTGTTGCTACTCTTAGAACGTGATGATGATTAAC